CTTTTTCTTTTTTTTTTTTTTTTTTTTTTTTTTCTCTCCCATTTTTTTTTCCTCTCAATTTCCCCCCCCTCCCCTCTTCTCTAGGTTTGGCTGGATACAATATTGCATTTGTCTGCCGCTAGTCCCGAGACTCGTGGGTAACTGGCAACTCGGGGTAAAACATCGTCAGTAGAGAATTTTAAAAAACACAAGTAGGTGCTGTGTTGAATAAACACAGATACCTGCTTTTTGTCTTGAATATATATATAGTATACTAGGTAGATAGACATCTCTCTAATTGCCACGATGTTTACACACGGTCCAACGCGTCGATGATCATGAAGAGGTGTGGTATCGCCCATGGCTCGTGATTTTTGCCGGAGTCGTTATCTAGCCGGCGGGCGACGTGTGGCGATTTTGCTGCTCGGCCCGCTGCAGGACGTTTTGTGTCCCCCTCGACTTCGTGGAGGCCACATCCCTGCTCCCATACGAAGATTCTTCCTTGCTGCAACAATCATCGCCCTTGACGGAGAAACGGTGTGCCCTCCGGGTGCTCGGGTGAGAAGAAGGAGGGGGGGGGGAGATGACGAGCCAATGATGATGCCGAAGAGGAGATATCCCTTTTGCAACTACTTTTGCAAAAGAGACCAGAGACCCGAGACCAGAGCCAGAGAGACCAGAGACCAGAGACCAGAGAGAGACCAAAGAGACCAAAGAGACCAGAGACAGGCCAGAGAAAAGGCGCAAGAAAGAGAGCTCTCCGCCCGGCCGAGCAGGCCCGAGCTGAGTGGCCCGGCCGGCCCGCCAGGGATCCGTGACCTGGGGTTTCCCTGCAAATGCGTGTCCAGCTGAATGGCTGCTGGATCAGGCTAGGAGCGGTGCCTTCCTTGATCCATGCATGCATTGCAGCACTACAGAACTAACTCATCGCCTGAGGCCCCCCCCCAAGGCTGCCACAACTTCCCTTCCAAGTTCCCGCCCCTCCCTCGGCTGCTGTGCGTGCATGACATGACATGGGCCCCTTCGCTCCGCACCGGCTTACGGGCGGGAATGCACCACTGCAGTAGCAACACGGATCAGAGCGGCTACACGCATGAACAATCGGTCTTGTGACGTCTCGATCCGGTTTAGCCGCGAGGGGCGGTGTGCGGCCGTGGCCACTCACGAGGGAAACTGAGGGAAGAATGCGCGGGATGGACCGGCCGAGGGGGGCGAGGGGGCGAGGGGGCTGCAAGATGCGCTGGCCTTTGTTGGACACGCGTGTGTGGTGGACAGTGGACACGGTTGTTGCGTTGCAGTGGGAAGAGTTGCAGTTGTTGTTGTTGTTGGAGAGGTCAGATCATGAGAGCTTCCAAGGGGGGATCGGGATCATGGGCAATCATGGAAAACATAGCAACATAGCAACATAGCAACATATGGCATCACAGTGACATACTGGTCCCGCAGCTACATCTATCTTCATCAGATCCAAATGAGACCCTGATGTAGGTCGCCCGTTTCTCCGCGGCGTAGTCACTCGACGAGGCAAGGAGGCAACATCAGTGGGTCGTCTTTTGGCTTCTGGAAGGATTGGTGGACGATCTTCTCAACCATCCCGTGTAGTACATACATACGACGGTACATGGCCTGGGGAGGGAAAAGATTCGATTGCTCAGGAAGCAGCGGGGACAAGCAAGCAAGCAAGCAAGCAAGCAAGCAAGCAAAGCCTGGCTTCCGATGAGCCACACACGTCCAAGACCATCTCCATCGCCCATCACATCACTCACCCCTCTGCAGCATGCTCAATCAAGTACCGGCCGCTCTGGGGAGAACGGGATCCGAGGCTGTTGGGCTTGCCATGTGGCCACGTCGCCGTTTGCAGCGAACCGTTCGCTGGTCGCTGGAAATGTCTGAGACATGTAGATCTAGGTCTCGGAGGCAACACACTGGGCACTGGACGTCTCCAGAATAGAGATCGACGAATGGCACAACTACAACTACAGTAAGTAAGGATAGGACGAGAGCATGGGGTCTGTGGCACAGTATAGATTGGAGTAGGCCCTGTCGTCAACGGTCGACGGTCAACAGCCTACGAGACCCGTCAACCAGGATCGGGGTGATCGACCGACGTAGCTGTAGCTCGGGTGGTGCCAGACCATCATCCATGGCCTTTCAGCCCGGGCCGCAATGGCACGTTGAGCTATTTAACCCCATCATGGTCGCAATTGGTAGGCAGGCCGGTTTCTCTTCATGCTGGTGTCGAGTTGTAGCGTCAGTAGTAACAGAGGCAATCCTTGCCAATACTCTGGACTCTATACCGTCTTGTTCCCTGCTCCATGGGAAGAGCTCGCAATGCCACGGCGAAAACGGTAAAGGTGCCGACTCCTCTTTTTCTCTTCCCTCGATCGCCCCGTTGTTTGTTATGGGAGATCCTCCGATGTGATGTGTTTGTCGTTGCAGTGCTAGGATTGAACAGAGCTGTAAAGCAGGTAAGTCTAGAGGGTGTAGTAGTAGTAGCAATAGTAGTAGCAGCAGCAGCAGCAGCAGCAGCAGCAGCAGCAGCAGCAGCAGCAGCAGCAGCAGCAGCAGCAGCAGCAGCAGCAGTAGCAGCAGTAGTGGTAGCAAAGTAGTAGTAATAGCAAAGTAGTAACCTTAGGGCAAGGTGGCAAGGTAGTAGTGATGAAGTGGAGAGACAGGCGCATTGCGCGACGACGGGATATCCGTCCCTCCCGCTGCGGTTGTCCCGTCGTTTGCTGGTGCAACATCCCGGAGGCCGTGTTCGTGCCCTCGGCGGGAGAGCAGGAGGAGGGTCAGGATTGGGGGAATCTGATATGATACAGCACGATATGCGATATGGGACAAGAGGAGAGAGTGAGGCTTACATCAGACAACGACCCTTGCCCCGTACCCCGTACCCCCGCATATACCTGTCCACGATATAAACATACATACGTACATACCTGGGCACATACCTGGGCGATAGTGAGAGCGGAGCGCGAATTGATGGCCTGGCTGCCCACCACCACCCGCGCCAGCCATGAACCAACAAGGCCAGCAGGTTTGCCTCTGGCCCTCTGGCCCTCTGCTCCTCTGCTAGCGACGTCGCAGCGCCCGTCTGGCGTTGTCTCGTAGACCACCAATGACGACACAGACGAATGCATGTCACCCGCATGTACGTCCGTAAGTACGAAGCTGGCCCGGCGCAAGGCCTGGCTCTTCGATACAAGCGCGACACCCGCTAACACCGCGTTTGCGACCCACCGCTGCGATGCATCATGGAAGGGGCGGTGCGGGCCTGGTGCGCGTCCCGCACGGGGATGTGGAAAAGGAGAGGCCTGGTGAGGCGGGTGAAGCATGGCAGAAGTCGTAGCAGCTGAAGCTTGCAGCCGAGAGATGCAAACGAGGCTGGGCCGGTTGGCGCGCGCGCAGGAGATAGATGATGGGGGGGGGGGACTATTCTGCCGGCGCGAAACTGTGGAGATGGCAGAGAGCAGAGCAGGGCAAAGGCAGAGTAGTAGAGCAGAGCAGAGCAGAGCAGAGGGGGAGGAGATGAGGAGATGAGGAGATGAGGTTCCGTCCCGCGATTGCAGCAGGGCCGGCCAGAGGAGACATCTGCATCTGAGATAGCAAGAGAGGATATACTGATCCGGTCTCTGCCTCTGCAACTCTTTCCCCGTTGTGAATCCCTCCCATCCCGTCCTGTTTGTCCTCAGTTCGCCCTGTCGATTGTATCCTCTGTGAGTCTGTCTGTCTGTCTGTGTGTGTGCGTGCTGTATGAACGGGACGGGGACGAGGGCAAGCAAAGACCAGAGTTGCGACTCCGAGACTGCAAGTCATAATCCCGCCCCCGTCGCTCGCCCTTGCGAATCCTCCCAAGCTTCCTCCACCCGTGGGAACACTTGGACGTGGAACTGGGACCTAGGCCTTCTCCCAGAACCTCTCAACCTCAGACGAGGGGCCTTCTCCTGCGTCTCCAGCGTCTCCACCGGCTCTGCCCTACTCAGCAGTCCTACCGACACTACCGCTGGTCTCCCGTTTCGACTGTCCTCGACTGTCCTCTGTCTGGCTGTCCTCGACTACTGCCCTCGACTACTCCTCGCCCATCCCATCATCCCATCATCCCATCCCATCCGGAGCCGCCGTTCGTTGGTGGCAGCAGCCGGCCCAGCAGACGACGTCAGGTCTCAACGTGCGCGCCGCCCGCCCTCCGTCCTCCCCCCCCCCGTCCAGCGAGTCGTTCCCTCGTGGTTGGAACGCGGATTGCTCCATTTGCCTGCCGACTATCCTCGACTAACGGTCCTCTTGCCACCGGCCGGCCCTCCGCTACGACCGCGCTGGCCCAGAGGCGGGCGGCGGATGCCCCAGCGGATAGTACCTGGGACCCTGCTACTCGGGAGCTGGGAGCGGCGCGGCGTTGCGTGGCCATTGGCTCGGCGATTGGGAGCAGCAGCAAGGGATCGCAGCAAAGCCGCAAGGATCCCCGACCGCGCCGTCAATAGCTTGGGTCGCGCCGATCGAAACGCCAACGACGCCAAGGGAGCCCGAGTCTCGACATTCCCTACGCCCCTCGCTGCCCAGCGCCCGTTTGGCCCTCGTGCGCCCAGCCAGGAGCCCGCCCGCAAGCACTCCGTACAGTAGTCTGGTGCTGTCGGGACTCAAGCGTGCTGACTACTGCTCATATTACGCAGTATTGCCTCGAGCCAAATCCGTCCCAAGCTGGCCTTCTGGGTGAACGCTGGCAACCCGCTGCTCTCCAGTCTCCCCCCCCAAGTCAAGACAAGTCAAGTCAAGTCAAGTCAAGTCAAGACTCAAGTCAAGACTCAAGTCAAGACTCAAGTCAAGTCAAGTCAAGCCAAGCCAAGGACTACTCTCAGGCCGCGGAACGCTCCTCTCTGCCCCCATCCTAGTCCATACAAAAGAAGGCAAACGGGATCGACCGCTCCCTGCGACAATCCCTCTTCCACTATCTTCACTGTGCCAGATCGCTGCCCGCTGTTCCTGATATCGGCATACGCAACGCCAATACCAACTACGATTCTCTGCGTTAAAGCCGGGCGGAACGCTCCTCTCGCCCATCCACGGTCGCCCTCCGTACCGTCTCCCGCCTACATCCGTTGCCACTGGCCCTCCGTCCCTCCACCCGTTCAGCTGGAGCTGTGAGGGGGTTCCTTGTTTGCGCGGCGGCGGCAAAACCAGCATCAAGTGTAGCCACTACTCGACTCCAGTGCTCTCCCCCCCCCAGGCCGGCCGGAGTCGCCTTTCTTCTGACCGCGGCTGGTGATACGTTACTGCTCTATCCCGAGGCTGACGCCAGTGTAAGGGCGCTGCAAGGCAGGTTTGAGACATTGAGAAGAAGGGCAGAAGGCAAGAAGAAGAAGTGAACTCTGTAGTCCTCCGCTGTCACCACTACTGACCGTGACGAACCCCTCTGGATCCCGAGACCTGGACCCGGATCTGGACCCCCCCTGGAGCGAGCGAGCGAGGGAGAGACACCAGAGCCAGACAGTCAGAGTGAGAAAGACAACAAGGATCCTCCCCAGGAGATCGTTCACTTATTACCTACTCCGTGCCGCCCGTTCGTGGATGAGAGAATCCCGAGTTTCGGACCCCTCCATTCTTAAAAGTTATTACCCTTACGAGTAATAGTTGAGAAAACCCACGGCCCAACCCACAGCCCACACACAGCGGCCTAACCAACCAACTTCTCTTCGATCCAGAGATTCACCGAACCTTGAACTCTTTTTTTCACTCTCAAGTTCACTCTCAACCTTTCATCCCTTCTTCCGCCCCTCACCTCCCTCTTCCCCTCCTGTTTGCACGCACCTCCCCTCGAGTCTCGACCTTCCATCAATCGAGTCTCCGTTCTCCCTTCACACCCGTTTCTCTACCCCACTACGACCGTTTTCTCCAATCACGGGAGCGCATCGCACCGTATCGCGTCGCATCGCGTCCGCATCGCATCGCATCGCATCGCATTACCCGCAGCTCGCCTCGGTGGGTCGCAGAAAAGGAGACCGTCCCGAGCGTTCTTCTTAGACACAAAACGGTCCCAAAGTTTTTCAAAGGCAACGAATTCGCCGCTCCTAGGCCGCCTTGTCACCCGCCAACTTCCGGGAGGGGCTTTCCAGTGGTGAATAATCACAGTCATCACTATTATTTTCTCATCGCCACTGTGAGTTCTGGGTGGATTTTGGTATTGCGTGGTTGAGAGGTCGCACACCGTCATAAACGTCGGTGTACTTCAATTCCTGCGGTTCGCAGATCCAAGGCCAAAGGAAGGTACGGTTGAGAGAACATTCTGGGGAAAGAAGGAAGGATACAGATCGCGGGTCGCGCCAGATAATTGGGAACAAATACCTGGAAACCAGTGGGACGTTTCTGACGATCTCGTTGATTCTGAAATACCAGTCTAAGACGGGTCAGGAACTCTCACACTCTTGAGAATTACGGGCCCGATAAACTGGTCTTGTCATTCAATTGCCACCGCTAGGAATTCCTTCAGTTGGAAGGACTGGCACGAGAGTTAGGGCCCGAGTCTTTAGGTACCGTAACCCATTTATATGGTACGTGACCAGAGCAGAGCAGAGAACAGAACAGAACAGAACACATACGTTGGAACCTTGATTCAGGGGGGTGAGTGCGTTGTGTGGTCGTCATGACATCCGGGGAAGTGAGGGGTAAAGAATGCATTCTGACATCTTGAGTAGTTCTTGAACATATCACAAGTCATCTTGCCTGATCAAGAGCCACAGGAAGCCCTACGACCATCTGCCGATCACCAAGCGGAGAAAGGCTTCTACTCGTGGGTCTGCAACCTTAAGTGTAAGCCGGGAGGGAAGCTCGGGGACGCGCACGCCACGGGCCTTGTGAAGGAAGCAACCTTTGGGTAAAGATACCGCCGGACCCAACACTATCTTCCGTCCTACCACAAAACCACAGCCAGTCAGCTCGAGATCCAGACTCCCTCAATTCTTGCACCCAGAATCCTCCCTAAAAAAATCGGACCGTTCCCGCTACGAGATACTTTCCTCGGGCCCATTTCCGAGTCCCATCAAGACGTATTACTAAGGAACTGGCCGCACGTCAGGCATTCCTCTAATACCCATAAGCTCCTCGTGGCTCCTGCAAATTGTCCTCCAGCTGGGCTGCTTTCTCTTCTTGCCACCGACGTCGCGCATTGACTGTGAGGACGTTTGACGAAACCAAGTCAATTTGACATAAACCAGGGGCGCCACTTCATTGAATAATCGAAGAAACAGGATTTCCGGGACCTTTTCGAAGAGCCAGGGGACGAGTCACTCGATTCGCGCTTTCAAGTCTTGAGAACGAGGAAAGACGACCTCTTGTATCCCACGAGAGTCTGCGCGCGAACCTCAGAAACGTCTGCAGGAGCATTGACGCGACCAGAAAATTCGGAAAAAGCAACGGAACGGGAAGAGCCTTCTCATTACGGGACGATATCTGTGCGCAACGGGCCACGGGCGTTTCAACGGTAGTTACCAGCATCATTTCGCCTTCCCATCAGCCTTGCCGATAACGTCTTTGCACCCCGCAAAGATCGTCTTGTTATCCCCACACTCTATCATTTACAACCTTCACCGTGGCGATCTATCCTTCAGACATGGCATATCAGGACCACAGTGGTGGTTATCCGCCGCCGCGCGAGCAACCCGAATCTCAATATCCCCCTCCACCAGGCGAAGAAGATGATCGTGCCAGAGCATATCATCAGCGCATGCCTTCCACGACTGGCAGCATAACTCTACCAGCAATATCGCCATACGACCCTCAATACGCCCAGCCTCCAAATGGTTACGCACCAGATCCGCGCGCATACCCACAAGACCCTTACCGTCCTCAACCCGGTCCTTATAGGGACGATAGGGTCTATCAGCAGGATTATGGAAGACCGGGAGCTCAGCAACAAATGGCGTTCAGTCAATCAGCACCTAGACAGAGAACAGCAATCGCATGCAGATATTGCAGAAGGCGTAAGGTGAGCACAATCAACGCTGGATTTTGCCTCCAAAGACCACCCAAGTGGAATTACCCGGGGGTTTACACTGACTATTACGTTTGCTAACCCTGCGATAGATTCGTTGCTCTGGCTTTGATCAGAATCCCGAAGGACGCTGCTCTAATTGCCAGCGTTTCCAGCAGGAGTGCATCTTCACTCCAGTCTCCTCCCAGGCTCAAGCTTTTGTCCCAGCTCACGCTGTTTACCCAAACATGCGAAATATGGGATTCGGTCCAGACGGTCGCCCTCGTCCAAATGTCTACCCTCAAGGAACACAACTCTTTGGTGCTCATGGCCAGCCGCTTGGTCCTCTTCCTCCCCAGGCAGCTTCTCCTTACAGCGACTATGCCCAGCCTTCTCCAACTGGCTCTTTCAATTCCTACTCCGAGGATCGTCCTCCAATCCCTGCTCAAGACCATTCAAGGAAGCGCCCACAACAGGACCCACACCCGTCAATCCTTCCACCTCCTATTCCCGGTCAGCCAAACTATGCACGGTCCGACAGTAGCGCCAGTCGTCGTCAGGCCGTTGAGGACGATCTCCGTCTGCCACCCGTAACACCAACCAGCGGTGGACGGGCGACACCGAACTACTCGCCCGGCTCCTCCACATCTTCCCATTCAAATCTGCAACCACCGACACAGCCTGCACCTGGCCTGCCATCAATGTCACGAACCCCACCACCGCGGGCAAGTCCTGGTGAGAGTGGCAGAGCTGATCCGATGTCCTTGGGTAACATAATGGAACGCCGACCAGATACAGAAATCGACAGGAGTATGCTGGGTCGATTGGATCGGAAAGGCCAATAATTTTCTGTGCTTCTTTTTCCCCATCCCACTGCGGCTTTTCAAATGCTTGATGGTTCCTGGAGCTGTTTCGGCTTTCCTCAGGTTGCCGCCAGTCTGTGCCAAAGGAGTTCTGATTGGTCTTGAAGATATGTTCCATCTGGTTCCTGCGTTGCTACTGCGGCTCTTCGGATGTTTGATGGATCCTGGGTTTTGCCCCTTTGCGAATGCACTGTTGGATTTGTTCAAATCGGGGTTTTCATCAGCTACTGGTCTTATGTGGGATAGGGAGATGGGTGTACCTGGAGGATAAAGTTGCATTTGCGTCCCTCGTCATGCGGGCTGGTTCCTCTTGACGTGTTGCTCTGTGTACGCTTATCTACCTGGGCTTCGTTTCTCTTGTGTTTTCACCTTTGACACTTTACTTGTATTTTTTTGGGGTGGCGGGGAGGATGAAAATGGCTCTTACCTGGCCTAATCACTTGCTTGCTCTTTAGGCATTGCATACAATTACGGTAATTGGAACTGGAGCCGGGGCTGGGCTTTGGGGAACATCGCTGGGCAAATTCAATGACCAGGCGGACGAATGGAAAAAAATCAATTCAAATGGAAATGGAAAGGAGTCAAAAGAACTAGATAGGTTACGCCTCACGGCACACAATACTTGGTGTTTTGGGGGAGGGGGGTTTTTTGCAAACTTTGTTATTCATCAGTCTTTGCTTGCTTTTGTACTTGTGTTGGCTTTTTGCTTTTTATTGTTTTTTGTTATCCCTCACGCATGCATTTGTTCCCCCCCTCTCTCTGTGCCTCTATTGGCTTGGGCGGCTTTGTTCAATCATTGGGGTAACAGGAGGGAGGGACTTTGTGTAAGTCTGGCTGGCGGTTTTTGCTGCTAAGTTTGACTTTGCTGGGGCTTGCCACGCGAGGGATGAATGAATGGATGGATGGATGAATGGGTTGTGTGGAAGGGTAGGGTAGGTAGGGTGGGCTTGTTAAGATAGCTAGGTAGCTTGTCTGGGCCGTGCAAGAGCGTGAATTATTATAGCAAAATGAGCTTTTTAAGCAGCTGAGTTTTTTTCTTGCGATGTGCTGTGCTTTGCGGTGCTGTTGTTCTCTCTGCCATTATTCATTACCTACCTTACGTAGACCTTGATGCAATAAATAAATAAATAAGGCCATACCTAAATTTACGCATGACTTGTCTAAATTTACACGCTAGTCCTAATCGGGGATAGTTGGCGAGTTTACGGCGTACACCTATCAAACTCGCGTTGCTATAGTAATTTGTATAGTAGCGCAAGCCAACTCGATACGAGTACGCAATCGTGTACGATGTGTAACAAAACTCTGTACCCTTACCTTACCTAATACCCCGCGTACGCGAAAAATTAAAGCTATTTACAACGCTCCCTCCTACTACCTACTACTCACTACTACCTACTACTACCTACTACCTACTACCTACTACTATAGATCTCCCTGTACCCTAGGCTTGTAGGCTAGCCCCTCTAGAAGCTGTTTACCCTAATATTACTACTACATTTACTACTATTTAAGCGTATACGAAAGCTAATAGGTATGCCTTTTTTTAGTAGGACAACAGGCCTACTAAGGTAAGGTATTGCTACGATCGCGGCGGCAAGTATAGCAATAAGGGCAAGAACCCTAATACAGATCTATCTAAACAGCGTAAGGGCACTAGTTCTAAGAAGTGTAACTATAAGATACAGGTATCGCTACGCCGTGATATAGTATTAGGTAACTAGGTACTTACGGTAGATAAGGCTACACATAATCACAAAAGATTAGTAGACGCTATAGCCTATCCTGCCTACAGAATTACTGCTCTAACTCTAGCTAGCTATGCCTTAGTCAGTACTCTAGCTAGTACTAGCATGTCTACTTCCTAGATCCTTACCTCTATCCGGTAGGATGATCTAGGCGCGTTATTAGTACCTAAAGATATCACTAATATCATACAGAAAAAGAGGATTAAAGAGCTAGGTAGACGGACTTTAATATAGTAGCTATTAGAGGCAGGATCCTACCTATCCCTTTACCTACCTTAATTACTCTACAGTCTACTAACCTACCTGTTATTATAGGAGCTTTAAAACAACGGCTTTAGTCCTTAATACTACCCCTAATCCGGCCTGTTAAAACAGCTCTTCTTTATCTACCCGACCTCCCTTACACTATAGAAGCAGAATCCCGATGTTCTATTACTCGATTGTACATACAAAACTAACAGATTTAACATGCCGCTACTTAATATCTGTACTATTACAGGTAACAATATAGTTATACAAGTAAGAATAGCGTTTTTGTTAGCTAAAAAGGAGCCTAACTATAACTAGGCTATTAATCAACTTCGCGGCGTTATGATTAACAACATGATCTAGGAGCTAACTGCTATAGTAACTAATAGGGAACTAGCTTTAATACGATATATCTAAACACGGTTCCCTAAAACCTATTACCTCCTTTGCCGGTAGTACGTTAATATAAACGTATTAGCTAAGACTAAGGACTTCTTTCTAAAGCCTATTAGGCATGCTAACAGTAGTACTAAGCGTTACCTAGCCTTTAACGAGTTTATAATTATATAGAATTCGCTACTAGCTAGTACTATAGAGGATGGCTACAACAAATAACTAGTAGAGATACAGACCAAATTCCCTACTAAGGCTATGCGCTATATTAAGGGGACTTGGCTTATATAGAGAGAGAACCTAGTAGCCTATTAGGTTAATTAGTATTACTACTTTAGGATCACTATTACAAGCTTAATTAAGGGCTGTCACGCGGTGTTAAAGGCCTATTTATAGCGTAGCTACAGTAATCTAAGGGGGGTCTTTATTAAGTTAAAGCTTTTTTAGGAGGGGTAACAGACAGCTATCTAGACGACTACTGTATAGTAGTAATTACGCCCTAGGTACAGTACTAATATCCCTCTTTTTACTACTGTTCTCTAGCATGTTTATAGCTACGCGTTACAAAAGATCTTACAGGAGTAACAAAAGCTACTAGCACGTGGCCTACCCCCTAATAACCCTGCCTACTGTTACACTATTTAGCAATATATAGGCGTGCCCTGCTACTATAAGATATAAGAACGTAAGAGAGACGGTAGAGTAATCCTGCCAGAAGATATACATCCTTACTAGTATATTTACAGGCTAGAGTTAAGTCCCTTTCCTTAGTAACCTATCGCTCTTTCTCTTCCTGTTTTAGACCCTGTTCTAATTAGAGGTAGGGGCCGTCTAAGGGGTGCTCTAGGTAGCGCTACGCGCGTAGCACCTTCTAGTACGCGACGTGATCCCTCTGCCTTTAAGTTGCTTACGAGCTTAGCGCCGGCGGCCTTTTAGTTAGCGCTAGCGCCGGTTGTCGTTAATTAGTCTAGCATATCGTTAGGGCAGCTATCTACAGTACGTTCTAGGCCTGTAACAGCTACTACTAGGATAGAGCGGCTTAAACAGGGGCACATAGACTTATATAAGCCAGGGACTCGAAGAGAGAGAAGATATATGTAGGGGATGGCATCTATCTACTAGTCCGACTCTATAGTAGATACTACTACCGCTACTACTACGGCAATACAAAACAGTGTTACGGCGTTAGAGGGGGAGGGGGATAGGGAGGGAGATAGTGATAGTGATAGTAATGACTAGGCAACTAGGAATAGCTTTATTTTTGTGTGTGTGTTACTAGGCAACTAGTTGTGTTAGTAGAATTGCGAATTGATTGTTTGTTTACATCGAGTTAGCTTGCGCTACTATACAAATTACTACTAAAGCGTAGGTGTATTAGATGTACCCCTAAAATTATTCGCTAAAAATATTAGCGTGTAAATTTAGACAAGTCATGCGTAAATTTAGGTAGGGCTATAAATAATAATACGTATATACCTACCTTACCTTACCTTACCTACACCAGCGAATCTGATTGTTTATACATATATACAAACCTCCCTCTCCTACTCCCTTCCCTACTCCAACTCCTACCTCCCCTCTCCCCCCAAGCCCCTTCTCTCTTCTCTTCTCTCTCCATCCCCCCTTTCTCTCTTACACATTTCGTTCAAAAACAAGACACCCCCTTGCCTTTCTTGTTTCTATCCTGTGCCCGTGCACTCCTTCATATTTACTGATTTACTTATTTATTTATTTAAAAGATCTGAAAGTATGTATATATATATGTAAGGTATGTAAGGTATGGTAGAAACGAAAGGAAAAGGAAAGGAAAGGAACGGGATCAGTCAGCAAATAGAGGTGGTGTTGGGGCACGTGCTTTGATAGGCATGAGTGGGATGGGATGGGGACGGGGAAGGGGAAGGAGAAGAGAGAGGGGCGGGATGGGGAAATGGATATCAGGTAGGTCAGGTGTTACGATCACTATACTGGTATATGCGACGACCGGAAAGGCGCTGAGTGATTTTGTACAAGGCAAGCAACCCTAACAACTACCGAAGATGTTTTTCGCCAGGTCCCAGCATCAATCACCACCAGCCAGAACATAGCCTAGAGCCCCCTTGCATTTCGTTTTTTTTTCCCATCAAAACCAAGGCTTCTCTAATCCCATTCCTGCTTTCCATTCTCTGATGCTGCTGCGTCCGTCCGCCCGCTATTCCAGAAGTAAAGCGCTTCCTTTATTCGACCTTGTCCTCGAAGTTCTCCCCCGCGACCAAATCCGGAATGTCGTCATCGTCATCGTCCTTCTTGTCATCACCGCCCTCCGCCTTCTGCATCGACTGGTAGCTCTCGGCCAGCTTTCGGAGCGAGGCGAGCGAGTCGGGGCCGAGTTGGTTGAGGATACCGGGCACGAGCTCGGTGAGCTCCTTGTCTTCACCGTTACCGTAGATCGCGAAGGTGTTAGCTGGGACCGCCGCGTGGACTGCAGATCCAAACATTAGCGCCTGCCTCATGTCTGGGAGAGAAGGGTCTCCTGATGGGGGGGATTTTAGGTGGGAGTGCCAGTCGGGAATAGCGTACCCTTGGGAGCCGCAAAGTGGATGACATTTCCGTCGGATTTGAACATGTTGACCTCCTCAATGGCTTGGATGGGCTGGACGTTGAGCTTCTTCAAGGAAGTTTGCAGCTTCTTGTCGTCTGCGCCTGCGCTCTTGTGGACCTTCTTGACCTTTCTTCTTGGCGTGCCTTTTCCACTGTTCATAGCACTGTCAGCATCGCAACCTATGCGCTCGCCCTTGTATCCTCTTCCCTAGCCCATTTTGCATATTCGAGGTCGCCAGTCGTCAACAGAGATGATTTGATACGTACCCTGTGCAAAATGTTAGCTGTTTTCCCCTCGCTGCGTCAACCGGAGGCCTGGGAGCATTAGCTCCTAATGAAGCTCCCAGACCCTCAAAATTGTTGCAGAAAAGCGATCCACATACCAATTCGCACCGACTGCTGCATCTTCTTCAACTTTTCCATATCCATGATTGCGGTAGGGCGACTTCCGTCGTGGGAGGTAGTGTGAGGGTGAGGGTAAGGAGGAGAGGGTCGTACTGCTCTCGCAATTGCTGTCAGTATGCCATGACTGCCGCAGACTGGAGGAGAAGCTCGGGGGACAATCCACGGGGATATAAATACGTACTTTGTGTAAGGTTGAGGAATTCCTAGGATAGAATCTCGGGATGAGGTCGGGGATGTCCAGTTGCTGTGTGTGGGCGCCAAGACTCTCAAAAATTAGCCGAATTTTCTGTGGGGAAATCTCAACGTCGTCCCTTTCTCTCTCCTGGGCGACCGATGGAGTCTGAGGTCTGCATCGAGGAGCTTCACATCCACCATGGTTATATGTACCCTTTAGTTGGGACCAAGGGATGCGGAGCGATGTATGTATCTGTTTTGCCAACAGTAACTCCTCAAGTTTGAGGTATAGAGTTCGTCAAATACGTTGAGAAGCCTCCCGCCGCTGTTGCAAGATGCAAAGCTCTGGCACAAGTGCCCAATATGAATTCCAGATTGATTACCTTGTATATATGATCATTGTAGAACTCTTGAGTTATGCCAGCTGGTTGATGAAGCTTCAACTGGGCCCATTGCGGTAGATATCTAAGTCTTAGATACCCAGCTGATTCACAACCACTTGGTTTGATTTCAACTTACACATACCCCTCAGCTCCTTACCTGTGCATATCAGAGTGTTGATTATGAAGCTTTCCTTTTGTCTTCTGCCATAGTTGTTCATGATCACCCCCCATGCGTCCGCAGCCACCTGGGGGCTATTCGCTAGACTTCGAGAAGAGGCAGTTCCCCCCAGTTTCAAACGCGTCAAGAAGCTGATAAGCAAGGCAATTGGAGTCAGCCATACACATAATCTTGGGGCGGGGCCTGTAAAGAGAGCATTGCAAGTGTAGGGAGTGTTTCGAGGGCTCTGATACCTATGGTTTCAATATCGCGAGATGACGGAGTCAGGAAGTTCGAGGACATCTTGAGTACCCACGTTTACGCGTTATGAGGCTGTCTTTGATACCACAGTACTGTGTCTCTTGCTTCATTCTTTGGTTAAGTATTTGCTGTCACAATTAGATGTTGTCACCGCGGTATGATGAATGGGATAAAGTAGCCCATTCATGCCCCGTCCAGTGTTGACAAGAAGATAGAGTGAGATATTGGGGTGCCAAGACTGTCCCGTCCGCTCATTTAAGCGAGCGTGGCAGGATTTCCTGGCTGAGTATCTATGTCCACTTTGACGCGCTCACTTTCTCCTTCGCGTACTTCCTTTCCTTTCGAACAACAACCCCAACCCCCAAACAAAGCCTCCCGCGAACCAACTTATCCAACACAGATAAGTGAAAGACGCGTCAATAAACGCCATAATGGATAGTGGAAACGCTGCGAATGCCTCAATCTCTTCCGCCCAGGATCGGATCTTTGGTCGCCATCACACCATCTACACCATTAACCTGTCCCGGGAGATCTTAACCACCTTTGAACGACCATGGAAGACGCGGGACAGCCGCGCTACCATGCAGGGCAAACTTCGTGAACTTGAAGCCATAATGGATTTTAGTGATCGTCAGATCCTAGAAGACCTTCTAAAATCTGGTACAGCTATCTCCCGCCAGGCAATTGAAGATGGCCCGGTACGCACAGGCCAGCAGGACGAGCTAGAGAAAGAGTGCGACATCTGCGCTGAAGTCAAGCCAGTGTCAGAATTTCATCAAGGAAAGATCACTCCACGATGCAAACACTACTCGGATATCTGCAAGGACTGTCTCGGTAGGGACATCGATGTTCAGTTAGCGACCAAGGTTTGGCACACACTCAGCTGTGCTTTCTGCAGATCCACTATGCCAACTGATCTTGTGCAACAATACATCCAACCCGATCAGTTTGAAAAGTATGTTCCCCAGTTTCCTGACACAGTAGCACACTATCGCCCGGCTTCTAGATCACTGCTTCAACGCGGTATTAGTACTTGATAGTTCAAGTCAGAGTTTATGCGATAGTTAGAAGCTGACTGACTTTATATAGGTATCGAGACTACATGACTGCTCACCAGATTAAAGACCTTAAGAACTTTTGCTGGTGCGCTCATTCCAGCTGCCGCTGCGGCCAGGTACACAACAATATCAAGAGCCGTCAGATGGTCTGCTACAAATGTGGCAATGTCACTTGTTACAAATGCAAGATCCCATGGCACGATGGTCAGACTTGCAAGGCCGCCATAGCTGAATATTACCAAGGCCGTTACAAGACAGAGGAGGAACTCTCGGCAGCCGCTATCGCGAGACTTACTAATACTTGTCCTAAATGCAAGGTACCCATCCAAAGGGATGGTGGATGTCAGCACATGAGGTGCAGTAAGTAGCTTCTATTCCTCTGACTAGACGCTGGCTAACGTGTGCTTAGCCCAATGCCGAACTAGATTCAACTGGGTAACCCACAGTCCTGTCGACCCTGGTCCATTCGCTGAAGCCAACCCTCCTCCACTCGTTCCACCTGTCGGAGTCCGATCTTATGGAGATTTCCGCGACCTTCCTCCTGGAATTATTATTCGTGCTGCTCCGGCTCCTGCTCCTGCTCTGGCTCCTGCTCCGGCTCCGGCTCCAGATCCAGCTCCGGCCCAAGATCCGGCTCCGGCCCCAGCTCCTTACCAGCTTGATGAAGATACTCCTATGGATTAACTGTGCTCTGAATGGTACACAACCAGCAACCACCTCTCGCGCACCCTAGGATTTAAGGACGGGAGATATGACTTTTCAGACACAGTTGATTCGCAACTTTCTTCTGTTCTTTTGTTTGTTATTGTGGAAGAAGATCACGCCCAATCATGACTACTTGTCTAATACACGTCAAAGAAAGAAGGAATGGGCCTTTTACTCACATACAGTCGCTTTTGTCGGCTCTTTTTCTTTTCCTTTCTCTTTCCTTGTCACTTTCTTTTTCTCTTTTGTTTTCTCTTTTGTCTTCTCTCGTTACATTGTTGTGAAGGGAACACGATCGCGCTCAACCATGGGAGACAAGCCTACCCGCAACCCTACACCCGAGCAAAGAAGGAACCGATCTTTCTCTCTACACACACCTAATTCTCTGCACTTTTCTCTTTTGTATTGTCTCTTTACATTGTCGAGGAGGAAACGCGTCACGTCACGTCACGATCACGATCAATCACACTACATGGAAAAGCAAGATGAAATAAATTCGCTTGCCTAAGTTAGCTAGCTAATGTTTGTGTAATACCCCCAAGTTGTGTTGCTACAGAATAACAATGAATGAAAATCATGTCATCAACCTCTCTTCCTTTCCTTGTGCTTTAGATCTGCATCTACACTGTGGGGAGAGATCTTGGTTAGTAACGTAAACAAGTACGCGCCGTGACAAAGAGGTGTTGATTAGGGTATCGTAATCAACATACCCGCTCTCTCTCAAGATGACTTGGAATTGTATTACAGAATGGCTGATGGAATGACTGGTAATAGGCTAATATACGCGGTTGGGATTTCTAGATGTCAGTATTTGAGGAGTGTGAAAATTACAGGGACCTTAGTGTCTTTCATCCAACAACTTGGAGATAGCGGAACAGGCCAGGCAATATCTCAATGAGCCTCCCTTGCGGTTTGTCTGCTTTTGTCTCATACAGAAGCACTATGGTTCAATTCATCTGGATGCGTATTCACAAGGAAAACCGTTATTGGGTCTTAAAAGAGATCAGATATTTTATTGAACACAAGACATTTAGCGTTATAATACAAAGTTGGCTTTTCAACCAACAAATCCCTCTCCTGCATCGTAGTAAAAGAGGCCCAGGCCAGCCGGGTATCAAAGTAAAAGAAAGAACGCCGAAAAGATGCCGCAGAATGTCTCAATAATGACTATTTTCCAATGCATTTTCTCACTCGGGGCCAAGCCTCGGAGTCAGGTTCAATAGTCCTAGGCGATATCAGCTACTGATATCTAGGCATAGCTGGTTGGAGAATCTTACGACTTACGAGTTGCGACGGCGCGGAATCATGTTGAGAGGTACAGCCGGAATAATGACATTCGAATTCTTCTGAACCACTGCAGCAATGCGTTCGTTCATAGGTTGAAGGGTGGGGATAGCAGGTGGTTTGCCATCAGCAATATTCGACAAAGATGCCTTGGCAGATCCGAGAGCTGGCCATTGCTCGGGGTCTTCGAGGGAAGACATCAGTGCCTCAACCTTCTTATGAGTCTCGGAATCTATCGTGTCAGTGCCGGATTTTAGGTTTCCAGCACCCAATTTCTCGCCGTCCAGCTTTGTAGACTTCAATTTGGTCTTGGTATGAGAATTGTTGATAAGCTCAAGAGTCAAGCTCTGATCCTTGGAATAGCTCAATCGACGCTGCTTCTGAGATTTGCGTGGCTTTGGGGTCTCAATGCTAGAAGAGCTACTGCTGCTACAAGATTTCGAGTGTCTTGCGGTATCAGTCGGTGTGACAACACGATTTTGCTTGAAGAGGCTTGTGCTTGTGTCATCCTTTTCTTGTATGAGTTTATCCATGGCGGACAAGCTATTATCCGACTTCGTAGAGGTGAAACTGGTATTGCGACTGGACTGATGGCTGAATGATGTATTGGCGCTCTTGTAGTCACTTGTATCTGTTGAGGTGGGTGTAATAGCGCCAGCAGCTGATCCAGCGGCGTTCATACCACTGTCGGTGGTGTCGAGTTTGGGAATGCTCTTTTTTTGATTCTTCTTCAGCTTCCGAGACTTGGACCTCTCAAATCCAGGGCTCACCTCGCGACTTTCAATGGCCAAAGTTGAGATATCAGCTTGATTAACTGTCTCAGATTTGGGAGGATCAGATGCTTGTTCGAGTTGGGGCTTCGACTCGTCAGTGCTGGTTCCATGGCTTTGAGCCTGCGGCTTTGAATCGACCACTGAGACTTCTTTGGCGGCTTTCAACGTGTCGCTCAATTTTGCCACCAAATCTGCTGGAGGGGATGGAACTCGTTCTTGGTGAATATCCACCGTTACTGTTTCGGTCAAGTTCACTTGGAAAGGTGTTTTGACCGGCGTTGTTGCCGGAGTCGGGCGGGTTGAACTGAAATGACTATTAGAAAGATAGAAACTGATCAAAGAAGTTATTTACTCACGCATTCTGCTTTGGGCCTTTCTTCTTTCGATTTCCCTTTTGGTTATTCTCAGCCGAATGAGCATTGAAATGCCCCTTCTTTGGAGTTGTTGATGTCTTCTTTACAGGTGAGTTCTCCTTATTCCATTGTGACTTTTCAGAATGAGGCTCATTGAATTTCTTAAAATTTGGGTACCCGTCAATAGGGCCCAACGGCATCTGACCGAGACGATTGATGGCAGATTGATGCTGTATGACTTCCGAGATGCTGGAACGTAGCGGCTCAGCGGGAAGCGGCATTTTGAATGTAGGGAGCGCCATAAGTTGAGCCTGGAAACTATATGTGAGCGGGCTACGGGGTGCATTTTGATTTCCATGAGTCTCTGGAGAATTAACATGAGACTTAGCAGAACCGCCGGCTTGATCGGAGCGGGTATATTGACGCTGAGGGGCCGAATTCTTTCGGAAGGCTCGATTATTATTGAAACGGCCTGAAGACTGGTGGTATTGGTTGGAGTAATAAGGCTGGCTCGATTGACTCCCAGATCTGTCTCTGGAGGGCTGGTATCTCGCAGGGAATTGCACATCCAATCTACGCCCGGACGGAAGGATGATACCATCAAAACGTTTGATTGCAGCCTGCAAAGAATGCTCTTCCTTAAAACTAAAATCAAAATTAGTTTAAATGTCTTATAAACTTTATAAAACATTATAAGTCTTATGTTTTTGGATGTGCGCGATGGAAATGGAGTGGGGTTGTAGATAGTGATGTTGATTCTCAGGAATCTTGATTTACTTGCTTCAAAGTCATTGGAGAGTTACTTACCTGACGAATGCTGGTCCAGTACCCATAGAAGTAGCGTACAAATAACTGATGTACTCGACTTCACCAACCTCTGACATCATATTCTTCAGGGCATGCGAGGTGAAGGTATCGACATCAGCCCCATTGACATACAGTGAACGGTTGCTATAGAAATCTGGTCGCTGGTTCCTAAGCCCCTTCATATAGTAGAAGGTAGATGATTTATCGGTGACTTTTGCATCAGGATGACCTTGGAAAGGTACAGAATGAGAGTGATAATTGTAGACCTGGGGTTGTGGAGCAGGAGCTGACTTCTCAAATGATTTGCCGAAATACTGAGATTGCTGATCAAAAGCTGATTTCTGATATGAATTATTCCAGACTCTGGCATCATTAGAGAACCCCTTGCGAGCAGGAAGTGGGTCTGACAACACGTGTGCCGGATTTGGCGCATCTGCTTGGTGCGGAGGCGTCAAACACTGAGAGTTATGCACGTAGATGGGTTGGTTTGCTTGAGAACCTAGACCTGGTGGGCTGCCACGAGGAGGGCTAGGAACGAATCGTCGATCATTGGGATTCGATCGATTAGGGGGGCCGTAAGGAAAATTTCCCTTTGGCTGGGCACGGACACTGCGACCTGTGTCGTTCGGTGAGTATCCTCGATATCCTGGCTCCCGCTGCTGGTTGTTGTGCTCTCTGGGGAAATGGCTGGGCCCAGTAGGAGGGTTTGGGATAGCAGCAGATATCATTCGCTGGCTTTCCATGAAATGAGAGTATGTCTGGAGTTGTGGATGAACGGGGTGAACTAGGCCAACGAGTCAGAAGATTGAAATGAGGTTTCTTTGTGGGACTTACCCCGCATAATCTTGGGATGATTTTGGTCTCCACGGTCAATGCCGGAGAAAGGTTGAGTGATCACTGGTTGACCATGTTGCATAAGTGGAGTAAGTCCTTGCTGGACCTGCTGAGGTTGAGTGGCCACTGGCTGACCATGTTGCATAACTGGAGCAAGCCCTTGCTGGACCTGCTGAGATTGATCATGAATTGGATTTTGCGGAGGGCTGAGATGTTGAAGATCAGCAGCAGCAGCTTTGTCCTGCTTTCCTCCCAATTGGGCATGATGGAAACGTAGAGCTTCCTTCATCATCACTAATTCATCAACTCTGAAACCGAATATGTCGTCCTTGTTTGCTTGGCTGAAGAGATCGACAAAGTCGATTTGGTTTGGCAAATGAGCAATGCGATCAACATTGTTTGCGACCCATTCGCCGGCATACTGGAAGATGATAGCCTCTTTCTCTCTGTTAATGGCAGTCTGAAGTGCAATTTGGTTGTCCCTGCTGATGTGACTGAGCACGTAGTAGAGAAATGAGGCACCCTCAACCCAGAGATCGACTGCATCAAAGAAATAGTAGAGATCAACCCATGATGTAGGATTTGTGATCTGACCAGTGATATGGGGCAAGCGGTCTCGTAGAAGCGCAGCCATTCGCTGGACCTCACCATCAAAGTCAGAGCGGACCATGGGAGCTGGAGGAGGGCTGTCAAGCTGACGCTTTGCTCTGGCTCCGTTATTTGTTGAAAACAGAGCGGGAGCATCCTGTGGGATACTGTTGTAGAACTTCTGAGGTAGGATGACCTCGAGGTATGCGGCTGCATGGGCAGCAAGAGGACCAATGTTCGCCATTGTGCCTGAAGAGAGAAGGTAGTTCAGCGACGCGGTTTTTGTTCAAGAGAAAATGCGCAGGGACAAGCGCGTCAAGGGTATTCAGAAGTGAAGCAGCTGGAAAGCAGAACAGGACTACTTATCATGAAATCGTGAGATAGAGGGAAGGGAAAGAAGAAAGAGAGGAGTGAGTAAAGACAGTGGTAGAAGGTGGTAAGGTGTGGTGTTTTGAGTTCAGATGGTTGTGTGTTGTGTGTTGAGTGTTGTGTGTTGTGGAGGAAGTGGCAGGAAGGTTGGACGGGAAGGAGGAGTGTCCTTACTTTGAGGAGACGCGCCCAATTCACTGCTTCCAATTCATGGCAAAGCACCTTCCAACACGTGTTTCAAGGGACAATAGGAAAAAGAGAACCAACAATGGGTTCTCAATAACCGAATTCATTCACTGATGCCAAACAGCCGTAAAGCCCCTTCTCATACCTTCCACAATAGAAGGTCTTTGAAACAGTGGAGTAAACTACTATTGTCTTCAATGATCTGGACGGCCCCATTGGGCATTCATGAGAAGACCAATTCCACTATGTAGAGTCCTCTTGCAATTGCAATCATCTAATCATTGAAAATCAAATTGAATTGTAGAGCCCCTCCCATCCTATAGTTGGATGCTTTAGAACAGGCAATAGCCGTGCTGTCTGTGACAGCAGTAACCCATAGATAAGAACTCTTGACATAATCCACCCTTATGAGTATGAAATAGGTTACAATGTGAAGATGTAATTATAAGCCATATCGTGTGATTGCTTTTGAGCATGGCAATCTTATCACGACTACCTCCCTAAACCTTGGGGTGAAGTAGCTGGCCCATTCTAGTAAGATGAGATTCAGAATGATTCAAAGCTTTAACCTAAATGGTAAGGAAATGGGATAGAGGACAAAGGAAGGGCACAAGGGGGCTCACAAGACCAAAGCGGAAGACTCTTTGTATGCTTTAATATACAGATACAGGTTGGTATTTACTTAGGAAGGGAGTTGATCATCTTCAAAATCTCCGATTCATTATCCCCCGCCACTGCTCGTCCGTTGTTCCAATCAACCGTCTGTTTCAAAGTCAGCCGTTGATCACAGTGGCCGGGGCCCAGGAAGAAGGGGGAAGGGAACATACCAGAGGCCTCTGGAAGCTGTCCTTGTTTATTCTCATCTTCTTGATGGCGTCTTCCTTGTCCTTCGCACCCGCAACGACCGTTCCAGCTTTCTGCGCTCCCACATAGTCAAGAATACTATTGAGCTGATCTGGAGTTGGAAGCTCCTCCGTCACATCGAGCTCGAATTCCTGTCGCTTGGGCGAGGTTTGGGCAGAATGGTCACTGGCCTGGTCTTGTGTAGCATACTCGGTAGCATTGGCAGATGCTTGCTTAAGAAGAGCGTGGACCCGCAGAGAAGCTGGAGAGCTGGCTTTGTGGAATAGGGTGATCACATCGAGTGTTTTGTGCTGCGTTGAAGCTATTGTCAGTATTTCCTATCATAGCAAAATAGAACGCGAGGATAGAGCTGGAAATAGTTAAGCTTACGAAGCGGAACATATTGCCTGAGTTATGGTGAAGCTCCGATCGATGTTGATTATGAGCTCAAGATGAAGGAGACGTTGGATCTGAGGAGCTTGGCTCTATCAGTCCCGTATGACGTTACTATGTACACTCCTTTGCTCCATACCCCTTGTCGTTTAGTGGTGAACCCCTGCCTGCGCCTGGTTGCTGGGCGAGAAAATATTCGAGTTAAACATTGACATTTGACCGGAGCAATAATCGCGTAGATCTCAAACCGCAACTCCATCGAGATTTCTGCCATCACTCCACTTCTTTATTCCTGCGCATCCTCTCGAACCATCGCGATGCCTCCCTTAATTTTGCACAATGTTCCAGACGAGGAACTGTACGTCGGCGAAGATGGCATACAAAGACCTTACGCCATGCTCTTCCCAGGGTATGTCTTCTAACCAGCCTCAGAATGCCCTATATATCTTCTGACGCCTTTAGCAGTGCGGATGGCAACCCTGGCGCAATGCGAGCGCGGCGCGCCATTCCAGAAACCGGTTCTTTTGGAAAATCAACACGACGCTCAAGATCGCGAACTGGCACCCCTGCGGCAAAGCGCGAAGACCCAACACTGGCAGCCGCAGACAAGATCTTCTCCGAATTCTTAGCCAAGCAAGCCTCTACTCCTTCCTCTGAGAGCCAGCGCAAATCTTCTGCTAGCCATACTTCCGTCTTCCAGCCCAACCAAGCCATAGGAACCAGCGATGGCAACGCCGCCCCTTCACAGCGTCACGTCCATAAAGAGCCTACGGAAGTCATCCTGAGGGGGTTCAAATCCACACAGCAGTACGCAGCAATCAGAGATTACGAGCGCATCGCCGGCAGAATCTGTGAGGACTATCCACGGGACCCGCCGGCCTCGCAACTGAAGTACAAATCCTCACTGGGTCGGGACCCTACCGTATTGCGCCCGCAAACCATGACTCCCGAAGAAAAAGCCAAAGCGCTGAAATTTGCAGGCGGGGAGAATTGGATCAAAATCACGTTTGAGAGTGCAGAGGCTGCAGAACGGGCGGTGGAATCGAGCCCCCAGGTCATTCTGGGCCACCTTGTATACGCGGAATTGTATAGGGGTGTCCCCCCAACCAGCGATGAGGAGATTCCTGCAAACGGAATTCTGAATGGCGAGCAACGAACACCAAGAAGGAAACAGTCAGGCACCTTACCAAGATCGTTCGCCAGTCCATCCATGACAGAAATCGGCCGGGGCGCGCCCTCTTTCAGCCCTGAAGGTTCCAACACCTCATCTCGCACGCTCGACACCGCCACGCTATCGACCAGCACCGCTACTTCTGGAACTGTAATTGGACAGGCCCCGTCATCTCTCTCCGCAAGCCAACTCAGCGAGTCCGAGTCCGCATTCTGTCACCGAATTCCGACCGCCAAGCGCATCCAGCTGCTGCCAGCCGAACAGGCCTTGCTCCCACAGCAGAGCTATTCGCAGCGGATACTGAGCAAGATCCCCCTGTTGAATTGGTTCTCGAGCGATATCATTGGGAGCCAGGTACCGAAGACGGAGAATGGCGAGTTTGATTGGGACAGGGCGAGTCTGTATTGGAGGTTCGTTTGGTGGCTGGATGGCATTACTGGTTGGTTTGATATTGTGGGCGGAGAGAAGGAGGAGTGATAGGATATATGTGTGATATGGGGAGACGGAATAGGTATTTATGGGATGGAGTTGGAGCGCGGCGTTATGGAAAGTGTATTGTCATGGCTGGATGATTTGAGAGACATAATGAATTTACACGAGATGAACTTGATTCGAATGTAAAAGTCGCAACTGCCCTTTCATTGAATGATAGCTCATTGAACATGAGTTCTACTGTTCGAAACATAATCTAGACCCAATAACCCCATGTATAAATCCCAGACCCGAGTCACGCTCAAGGTTAAATATTTACAAGCAAGCACGCACACATATATACATTAATCGGACCCCGTCTCATCATCAGTAACACTCCGGTCTCCCTCCCTATCCCGGGGAGGATCGCGATTCCTCTCATCTCTATTCTCATCGCCAACCTCCTTGCCCTTCCCCCAAGCCGCGGCGTCCTCCCCTTGTTCAGTCTCCGTGTTGGAAGTATTCACAATCGTTCTTGTACTCTGACTCTCATCCGTATCCACATCTAGCGGCCCCGGATCTGGAACCCTGTCTGCCGGCGGAGGACTAAATGGCCTGATGCCGCGACTTCGATTCAGGATACCGGCCGATGAACCTGTGTCTCGTTCAGAGAAAATGGATGCTACGTCGACATCAGCGCCTGTGCCGGAGACTGCACCAGCAAGGCTCTGATAGTGGAGCCCGTCGACGAGAAGGCTATCGCTCCTCTTATGTCCCACCGGTGAGTCCGCCGCTCCCTGTGCTTCCGCTGGCCCCTCCTGTGAACTTGCTGTGTCGGCTAGGATACTTTTCTGCGGGAGAATCGAGAATATTTGGTTATTAGTGGTATGTGAACTCGGCGGGTCATCATTTGCGAAAAGATCCTTCCCTTTCTCCAATAGCTCATCTAGCCCACCCCCATTCCAACCTTTCCTGGCCAGCGCTTCGAAAATGTCCATTTCCGCTCTCACAAGTCCCGCACTGCACTCCACGATCCGACCGCTCGTCTCCTGACAATCCCTCAATAAGCCTCTCGCATGCCCACCATGCAGGCTTGTAAGCCCATCCAGTTTCTCCGTCAACTGCACCAAATGCTCTCTGAAACGCTTTACATCCCTCTTCCTAGACTTGTATACCTTCATACCATCCTTCTCCATCTTTCTTATTTCCTTACTCAGAGCCTTCGCGGAATTTTGATACGTAACTTCCTCTTCCTCGATTTTCCGGGTCCAGGAATCCAATTCGTGCAACAAGGGCACTTCGAAAGAGCGATATACCATTTCCGATAGAATCTGCTGATGATTCGCAATCAACTGATGCACCCCGCTGGCTGCCAACAAACTGTCCGCCGTACAGTTTCCCTGTGCAATCCAGCTATTAGTCATGCTTCCCATCCCATTCCCCGGGCTTATTGCGTCGGATCGCGCTTCTTTTAAGCGCGCACATGCTTCTAAAGAACTTCCAAAATTGGACGCAGAGACAGAGAGCGCAGATAAGGCCAGGCGGTATGCTTTGGCGGAGGATACTAGGTCTGTATATGCGGACTGTGAGAGCTCGAGGTCGGATTTTGTAAGCACGGCGTGCGGCGGGTGCGGTTTGGGAGGTAGGGGCAGGTTGAAGGCGCTGGGTACAGGGAGAGATGTCGAGGCATAAGAGTAAGTTGGGGAGCCGGGAATTGGCGGGAGTTTCGAGGGCGACGGTGAGGGCGACCGCGAGCGCGCTGTGGAAGAAGATGGCATATTGCGAGGTATGGTGGTATCTGTTTAGTCGTATCGAGAGTGACGGAATGGGAGGCGAGGTCCCGTCAGCAATGGGGGAGAACTTCTATCGAATGGATATATTCAAGGATCTATCCGACAAGGATAATGGAGACCATTTGACACGAGAGATGCTGGTGGAGATGACCCGTGGTCTCTTGATCTTGTTGTTGATCATGAGAAGAAGTGGTTCGACCCCTGTTCGTCAGCCGCCACGATAAGGAGCGAAGCTAAGATAGGGATGCACAACCGAGCTTTCCAAGGGACCTATCCGACGAGGTACCCGACGTCGAGAAAGTAAACATTTCACTTGAAGAATTTCTTTTTTCTCTTCTCCAAGGGACATCTATTATCATATTTCTACCTAATATATTCTATTCGATTCCCTCGAAACCGTCAAACCGACGATCTCGTCTCACCACACGACCAACCTCAAAATGCCTCCATCCGCGCCTACCGCCCTCATAATCCCCGCTGTCAAGAAGCACACCGCAACCGTCATCATGTCCCATGGCCTTGGTGACAGCGGGGCAGGTTGGGCCTCTCTTGCAGAGAACTGGCGGCGCCGCCAAAAGTTCGACGAAGTGAAATTCATCTTCCCCAATGCTCCGTCTATTCCAATTTCCATTGTACGCCCTGCCCCTCTCTGCCCGGCCTATAACAAAAAGAGATACTGATAGGAGATAGAACATGGGTATGACCATGCCCGGTTGGTACGACATTGTAAGAACTCGAGAAGCCGTTCGTTTGCACTCATTTAAATGGATCCCTGGAAAGCGGGGTGCTGATGTAGCTTGGGACAGATTACATTCGACGATGCCCAAGCAGGCCAGGACGAGACCGGAATCCTCAGATCGCAACGTTATTTCCACAGCCTCATCGCCTCAGAAGTTGAGTCCGGTATCCCCTCCGAGCGTATTGTCCTTGGCGGTTTCTCGCAGGGTGGAGCTATGTCCATTTTCTCGGGCGTCACATCGGAGAAGAAACTTGGCGGGATTTTTGGATTGAGCTGCTACTTGCTGTTGCATTCAAAACTCGACGAGTTCGCAAAGAATGGGGCCAACAAGCAGACGCCCATATTTTTGGCGCATGGGGATCGCGATCCGATGGTTAAACCGGATTGGGGGATACGGACCGCGGAGGAGTTGAAGAAGAAAGGCTACAACGTCGAGTTGAAGATGTATCCGTAAGTATCACCAACATCTTCGGTCCTTGTTTTGTCATTAGCGGGATCAGCAACTGACGTTAGGCGCAGGGGACTGCAACATTCGGCAGATCCGCAGGAGATCGATGATCTGGAGAAGTATTTGAACGCGAGGATACCACCACTGGGAGACAAGTCGCCCCTGTGACTACATGATAGCGCGAAGCCCGTGAATTGGGCGGGTAATTTTACGACCCCGCTTCTCTTGTTGTCCTTTTTCATACTTATTGTGGGGGTATGGTGGGCTTTCAAGAGAGGAGCGCAGGAGAAATCAGGGGAGAAGCAGAAGACCACATGATGTGCAAATAGAGAGCGATGTGCCAAAATTTGAGCTCAGTAAAAGGATATGGGAGCCACACATTTATCAAAGCTCATTGCAGTGCTTTTCAGCTAACACTTATCAAATGGCCTCGTTCTGCCATTCATGGATTTTCCCCTGCTACAGCATTCCCTCATTTCTGTAGGCCTTGCATAAGGATAGTTGGAAATTGAGATCAAATATCAATGGCTGATATTTGAGCATACGTGGCGATGTCAAAGCTAAGGGGCAAGTGGGAATGGCTTCCCGAACTCTTTGCAGCAACTGGCACATAGAGCCAATTAATGTGGCTAATAAAACGGAAAGGCCTTTTATCAAAAATTCGATTCTGAGAAGAGGTGGATGAGTATACCCCTTGCATTGTGCCTTGGTTCTGGGACCAGTAAAATATCTCTGCAAGCAAAGCAAGCAGACACACGAACCCACTCAAACCCGAGTGATACACAGCACTTATAGATCATCAGATTTGCACCTGTCTTTGCATTTCTCAGCTATCATTGCAGAACCGCAAATCCCATATGCTCATCCATGAATGACCCAAATCACAAGAAACAATGGCTTTATTACCAATTCTTAACGACTCGTAGCCTGGACCTTTCTTGCCGCACCCTTCGCTCCCTGCTTGCTGGTCACTCTTGCGGTCTGTCCCTTCGCCGCAGTAGCAGCACTCTTCGCCTTCTCAAGCTTCTTCGCACTCTGGGCCGCAGCGCGCTTCTCCTTGGCGTCCTTGATAGCGGCCGCGCGGGCGGCAGATCGGGCCTCGGGTCGCATGCTTCGTCGCTCCTTGATCACATCGAGGGAAGCACCAACAATGGCACGTTGGGACTTGATTGTGCGGCGGGATCGCTTCTTGGCAACTTCCTGTTGGTGAGAGACATGTCAGCCCTGCCTCTTCCTCGTAGGCGTACATCCAATCTTGGGCTCTAGGAAAGGGGATATGATCGTACCTCAGAGATACCCTTCTTGTGTTGTCTTCGGAAAAGAACAGTCCAGGCAATGCGACGGGGGTTCTTGCGCTGGAGGAAGAGAGATTCGGTCTTGCCATTTTGGAATCGGAAGATCTTGCTGTCACCACGGACGTAGAGCTTGCCCTGTAATCCAGACCGTCAGCATCCCATTCCCTAGTACTACGCTCTCGAGACTCGATGTCCCCATCCTTTCAATGCTCCTTTCATTGCGTCCCGCCACCTCGACATCACGGAATCGGAACTCGTACCTTTCCAGGGTAGATCTTCTCGCCGGAGAAGGTGTCGTCGTAGGTACGCATGTTGACTGTTTTGCGTAGATATCCGCCGACTGTGTTAGTTGTCGATTCGAGCTACCCGGGTCGTCGGTGGGTAGAAGTTGATTGTCGATTGATTCTCGTCGTTCTCAAACAAGAGTCGCGAAATTCTGATGTGGGAGGAGCTAGCGTCGCTTATGGAAATAGCGCGTGCCCTAAAGCGAAATGTCGATGACTTCCAATGTCAGCCTCACCACCTCAACACCGGCCTAGGAGGACGTTCAATTCAAATGGAGTTGAATATATATTAGTCGCCAGACTATGTATCGCAGAATAGCAAAGAACATAGGGCTTACTTGTCACTATCGTGGAGACGCTGCAGAAGCATGGTTTAGCTCTTTCCGCTATTATCACGTGACGTGTCCAAATAGACGACATTCCCCTATCGTCTTCGCTGTTCAAAATCGGTTGCATCTCTCCACGGCCCAGATCCGGTTTATAAACACTGGACCGTCGAGTCAATACGTCAAAATGCTTTCTAGCCTCGAGCCCTACCCTCCCGGATCTCCTATGAGCTTTGAGGAGGACTCAGGGGCTTCTTGGACGCCTCTGTTCCAGAAACAATGTTCATTCCCTCCCGAAATATTCAGACAAGTAATGCTGAATCTGATACGGAACCCAAATATTAATTCAAACCACCTTTTTCGCGCTGATATCTCATTGGAAAGTCCATTCGCTGATGATTCCCTGACGGATTCTGAGATACCCCCAAGGATCACCCACGTCAAAGGATACGACATCAAAACCGTCATTGTACGAACTATGATTCCAAGAAATATTGTTGTGGACAAGCCTTTGGATCAAACATGTCTCTTTCACGAGAAGACTACAGATTCGGGAGAAATCAGATCACTAGTCACATACCTCCCCCACATATCTTCAGCGGCCGAGTCGCCTTTCTATCACCCTGCCGTGCGTGGCATAGGATTCCTGCATACATTCAATCCTCTATTAAAAGAGGGGAGTGTTTCAATACATTACTCATTCTTCGATTCCGAGCCTCGATCAGCCAAATTGGAAAGAACCGCTCAGCATTTACTGACTGTTCTGCACAAGCACGGCCAGGGAACTGCTGCTGGATACGTTAAGAGAGTGAACCATGACGTTATTATCCCTCAGGCTGTTCTTCAGAATACGTACGCAAGACTTAAGGCCAAATATGCGAAGATCCTCATCAGCCGTTGGGTTGAGAGCACAGACCCGACCAAACACGTTTTTGAAGACCTTGGAATTGCTGCGTTCCTGATTGAGCTATGGGCTGAGATGTACAAGGAAACTTACTTTCCCGGATTTGTTGATATTGGATGTGGTAATGGGTTACTTGTTCATATTCTCCTTGAAGAAGGTTACAGTGGCTGGGGTTTCGATGCACGAAGACGCAAGTCATGGGCCACATACAGTTCGAAGACACAAGAAAGTCTGAAAGAACTTGTTTTGATTCCGTCTATATTACAGACGACCGCTGCAGAAACCCCAACTCCTAATCCGCCCGTGTGCCATGCCAATACATCACCCAATTTGACTGAGCCCACTCAGCAAGCAACAGAAAAATGGCCAAATAATGAAAATACCTCCAACAGTACTGAAACGGGCAATGAAATAACCCAACAGAATGTGTTACCAGGAACACATAATGGATTATTCCCCGAAGGAACATTCATAATATCCAACCATGCCGACGAGCTGACACCTTGGACGCCCATCCTTGCTAACCTTTCGAAATCACCTTTCATGATGATCCCCTGTTGCAGCCATGCCCTCAGTGGAGCTAAGTTTCGAGCACCTCCTTCTAAAGGCCTTAATGCGTCCAGCTCTGCATACGCGTCGCTTGTGAGTTGGGTGTCTAAAATCGCTAGGGAGTGTGGATGGGTGGTCGAGAAGGAGATGTTGAGGATTCCGAGTACGAGGAACACGGCGCTTATCGGAAGACGTCGCGCGATAGGGTTTGAAGAGCTTGATGTCAAGGAGTTGGTGGGGGCGAATGGTGGTGCGGATGGCTGGAGAGATAATGCAATGAAGTTGGTTAAAGGCGCTACTCGCGGCCATTGAGGAAGAACTCTCGGTGATTTGGCAGACTGGTTGTTCAGATTGTCGACGAAGTGGCTCCAAGGTAGAAAGGTCACTGGATGTTGTCGTCGGTGGCGGTAACTGATCTGGAACATCTAGAGGCGGCATTCCCTCTCAGGGGTGGCGTCCTATCAAAGGTTCTCCCCTCCTGTGTCACTCCCCGCCGTTGAGTACGAGCCACAAATTCTCCGATAATTCTATGCTGGAAGCTTACAAAATTATCCAAAGCACACCTTGCTGTCATTTCCTGGTCTAGCTCTCGCTCAAGTCTGCGGATCGTTCGTTCCTGATCCCCGATCTTCCATTTTCGTGCCCGAAGAGTCATGTCATTTGCGTGATTCCGAGCTGTATAAGCCTCGATAATTTCCATATTTTGGAGAATGATGGGTTCATAAGTAAGTCTGCATTCGCGCTCCCAAGTCAGCTCTCGCTGAGATCTCTGGAGCCTCAAGTTCTGGGTATTCAGTGCCAAAATCTGTCTGTTGATCAGAGTCTCCTGTTCGTTCATGGTGCGCTGTGCGCTCGTACTTGCAGCTACTACCTGGCTGAACAGATCCCCCATTACCGCCATCTCATTATGAAGCTTGATGATATTGTTATTGGCGGCCTGGAGGTTGGTTGCGTGTGTATTCCTCTCTTCCCAAGCCCTCGTTCGCTCTTCTCGAAGCTGTTCGGATATCCGAATGAAACTGTCGATTCTGGTTTGCAATTTTTCGTTGTCCTTTAAGAGTTCTTCTATCACACGCAGTTGCGTGATGCAGGTGGGCCCTCCGTTTTGCAAATCTTCAATTCTGTTCTCGTAGTCTCTCTCCTTGTCCTTCAGTCTTTGGTTTTCCGATGTTAATTCTCTAATCCGCAGATTTGCACTTTTGAGGTCATCGCCCTTTCGAGGTTCCTTATTGGGGGCCGTCAATTTGAGGGACGACTTGGAGGACGTCATTGTGAGGCCCTAATAAGTGGTCGAACTGTGATTGAGTTCTTTCGCCACCAACGTCCGAGCTGATTGCGTTGATTTCAAGAGGTTGCCTGAGTGGGAATCGGGCAACCGTTATAAAAAAGGCGTGATGGGATAGTATCGTAAGTGATAATACTTTCAAGATACTGCCTGATGATAACCATATAAGTAACTAGGCTAGAATCGGTATTATCATGCGATTCAAAGGACCAAATGGGTACTATCAAGTAGTCGATTGATGTGTGTGGGGTTTGGAGGATGCTGTGACGAATGATGGAGTTCGAAGGGATACTTTTTGGATAATTCCTTCGAGATTCTGATATTGATCGCGGGTGAAGAGAAATAGAAAAAGGGAGAAATGTAAATGCCCGCCTCTTCATTTATTAACAGCCATCAGTTCGGATCACAACTCACGCTATGCAGTCAAAATCCCAAACGTTATTCATCCTCAGTCGAAATCCCAAGCACCTTTACCAATTTTAGAATCCCGCTACTCCGGCTCGGGTCGACCCAGTGCTTTGTGGGGTTTGACCCACCCATACGTGCTCTCAAAAGCTTAAGGACCTCCACGACGCAGTTCCAAACACAGCCGAAGATGATTAGAGACAGAGGAAAGTCTGAGCTCAAGTAAGCATCGAAACCGAAACTTTACTCAACACGAATTTAACGCCTTCGCAAAGATTGCTTGCATCTCCCACAATTCACATATCATGACATTCCGCATCTCAAAATCAGCAGCTACGTATCACTGAACGTATCTTGAATCATTGGTATTTATTGATCCGACTTCGAAATGTCTGCATCCCCTTTTTTTCATATTGTCTTGCTATTGGAAGCCTAATACAAGTTGAAATTCCTTCCAGTTGGCCAAACTCACATTCTACACCAGAAGCCACAAGAACCGCCGATGGATAATCCCAACCCTACAGTATTCCGTTTGCAAGTATCGCTATCAACCTCATGTACTGTCGTATTATTTAATCTACGAAATTTCCTTGACTTCCAAATCTTGTATCCCCAACCTAGAACTCCAAATTTCATTTCAACCCGTCGCTCCTCGTAGTACACAGTCTCTCGGTCAAAACTGTTTTCCTGCAATTGTTGAAATCGCCGCAGCAAAGCCTTGAAATACTTAGCCAAGTTCTGCAAAGTAGGCATTCTTAGGGAGTGCGCGAGTGCGCTGGTTGGAGGGAGGTTGTAGTCCATCCTTTCCTCCAGTCGACGGTACAATTATTGACCAAAAAAATCGCCATCGGAATTTTGATTCCCTCTTTTCAATCAAGATTTCTGCCAATGAACACCTGAAAAACGAATTCTTACCTTACAGAATTTCTGGTTCTATGCGGGCGCTATTACCAATTTGGATCAAGAGAGACTTTTGGGATACCTCACCAGGTGTCTACCTCACCGTTTTGTAGCCTCTCCACAGCGCTTTACTCCACACATCAGTTCTCCACATAGCAAGGCACAAGGTACGGCTTGGCCCACTTTGTAATAAGATTCTGAGAGTGTAGAACTTAAAATTGACTGCATTCTATGCTTCAGATATCTCGGGGGTTCAACTCCAATTTCCGTTTTCTCGCATCAGCGTATTTCCGATTTTATTTCTATGGTTCGGGCCTTATTTTTCTAGGTCATCATACAACTTTCATTTGGCTAAACGATATATTTTGAGAAAAGGATTTCTTTAGTAATGAAAAGGATTGAGATAGGACATACCATCGGTGTTTGACAGAACAAATACCTCAGGTACGCCTCGATTGTGACGTTTCAATGGTCTAGTCCCATGGTTTAGGTAGCTCTCATTCTCTGCAGTCGAGATGAAAAGAAAGGACGCCACTTTACTCCGATCTGGAGTTAATCATGGAATGTGACTAAAGCCGAATTTCTGCGTCTGAAGACGTGGTCCAACTCGGCCTGGGTTCCTTTCCCCTGATGTTTGGCCAAGAAGAATTCAAAACCTGAAGCGCGATATCCAACAAGGCTTGAATATTGCCCAATCAGAATACCAAACCAGTGTCTATATATATAGTTGTAGGGTTCGCGCCTACATGTTTTTGGGTAGCGACGTAGGCGCGGTTATCGCGTGTGGACAAGATAGAAGCCGCACCTTCTATGTCAAGTTTGGTAGCGACGGTTCTTCTATTAGCTAGGAAACTACTTTCGAGATTCATTTCCTGTTCTACTTGTCTTTCTTTATTCCCTGTCCACTCTTCTCCCCGTTCTGTTAACACCACCCAGAGTCCCTGGTCCAAATCGCGTTCGCATTCTTATGTCTCTACATTGAATTCTTCCCCACTTACATGCCACCGAAGTCACGCCTTGTTTTATTCTGTTAGTTAGTACAATAACGTCGAAGCCTGGTTTACAGCTAGGATTTCTGCGATATCTTCCAAAGATGTCCGTGGGTCATACATACACCCAGTTCACTTCCGTCTCCTTCCACGAAGCGCCTTGGCTCAGCCTCGAGTATACCTCCGGCACAACGAGCGAAGATGATGGAATTCCTGATCAGATTCCAGTGATCTTCTGCCGACCAGCTCAATTACCCCACGTCGTCCCCCCGGTCGCTGGGCTCAAGGAGATGAGGGTAGTTAACCACCGAGGGGAGATGGTGTTAGGGTATACTTGGGTGAATGCATCCAGAGAGGCCGTGACTAGTTGGCATGATGAGGTTCCTTCCGCCGCGCTCCCTGGTGCCAAGCCTTTCCATTCGTGGGTCCGCGCTGGACCCGATGAACTCTTCCCCGCTGTCGAGAGATGTCTCGACGATCAAGATCTTATCGACGAAGAGCTCATCATCCCTGCTGGCGAAAACGGGAACAGCGTGGAAATGACCTCTTCCCTTCAACTCATCGATACTGAAATGCACGATGTCTCTATTCTCGAGGCCACCGATCTGAACTCGGAGGTTTCGAGGCAAATAAAAGGCAAGGAAAGAGAGAGGGATGCACAGTTGGAACAAGCAAGAAGCCCAGAGCCTCCCAAAGGTTCACAACAGAATGGGAATTCTAATGGCAAGGGAGTTTCTCCAACTAGAGATACGGGTGACGCGGGACTTGTAATCTCAGAGAAAAGCGAGATGAATTACCTCAATACTGGAGAGCAGAAACTCACACCACCTGAAAGTCCGGAATCATCGGATACCATCAAAGCTAACAATCGGGAGACAGGAAGCTATTCTGAAAGCTCTGCTGCCAATCAATCCTCTCCAAGTCCTATTCAACATCATCTAGAGCGTCTACAAAGTACTGGTAGCTACTATTCTGGAACCATAGGACTTGAGAGTCACGAGCCGGATTTTGACAGACTTCCAACTATGCCAGTTGGATATTGGAGGAATCCGCTTGGCGAGGTACTTCCTCGACTTCAAGATGTGGACGTACTCAGAGAGGGGATCAATGCTGGATTTCCGGAGCTCCCAGTGTCCAGAGATCCTGTACCAGAGATTCTCCGGTTCAAGCTTACCCTTTGATAATGATCCTGTTGGAATGGCAAGATGCAGTCGTCCCTAAGGAATCGAGTGTGAGGAGAGAGGTCTGGCCGAAAGGAGGCGCATATGACGACTCCAAGTTTTGATTGCATTTTTCCTTTTCCTTTCTCTTTCTTTTTATCATTCGTTTGAGAAACTCGATGGAGTTTTACTCTCAGATTGTGTCGAATTCAAAGACTTAGGCATTGGATGGTAAGGTAGTGAGACTATCTAGTCTCGTGCTACATCGCGAGTTTTGGAGTTTCGACCGTACGGAATTGGAAAACGGGTGTGGTGATGCCTCAGGTGGATTGTTCTTAAATTCAAGTTGTATATAGAGTCACCGCTTGCCCCTAGTTTGATTGCATGGAATCCGCTTTGATATTTGATATTTGAACCGTGCACTGCGTCCTATGTACCTCGGTAGAAGAGGAGCCTGAATTGAAACTATCCAGGAGATCCGATATTAACTCACAGATTAGTAAGCGGAAGATGAAATTTGAACGAGCGTATTCCAACCTCACCCTCTTCTCATTTTCACTCACCAGGCATTGTTCGATAATTGCTCATCTCTGCTTCGCGGATTCAAAGTAACAAACCTCAAACGGCCTCGTTACCCCCAAAGCACAATGCTGTCCAAGTTGGCTTTCTGGAAGAAATGGCAACTCCCAACCCACCGCAGAGTCCTAATCCTACTCCTCACACCCCCAGGTATCGTGGGAGGTTTGATCTGCGGCTATTTCGAGATGAGCTGGCAGACTGTGAAAAGGGAGTGCGATCTGTTGGAGGAGCGGCTCGAGGGGAGAATGCTCGCGCTAGAGCAACGCCTGCAGAGATACGATGCGAACTTCAAGGATGAGAAATGAGATTTGAATGGGCTGAAGATATGAGAGCTCTATACGCAGCACTGGATTTTTCGAGGCCAATTTTTGAAGCTCCCCGACGCGTTGCTTCGTGAGGAAGAGAGTTGGGGGTTGAAGACCCAGATCACGTGCCCAGGGGGAAATCTGGTTTTGAGGGGAAAGAACCAGGCCTATGAATCAATCGGGCTGCCCATTTCTCAATTCCTCAATATTGCTTGGGATGTGCGTAGGAAGCCCAACGCGCGCCTAGCTATGTCCCAACAATCTCGATATCCAGACTCAGTAATCACCGGTCCAAACCCCAAAACCTTCAACAACGTCGACCTCACCAAATTAGCCGCCGAAATCTCAACAATCCTAAATCATTTGCTAAGGTCTACCAACAGTTCTCATCTCTGTGTGCGGAGTTCAAAGAGATTTCTGGACTGGAGCGTTTCAACCGTGGAACCCTTGAGACTAGAGTGAAGATTCGGCGTCACAAGGTGTGATGGAGAAGAGGTTACTTAGGCGGAATGCGGTGAAGGAGGAGAGGCACCAGACCTGGAATGGTGTTTGTTAGATGGCGAATCTTGGAGAGGAACTTGGTGATGAAGGGCTTATCGAGGGAGAGAGGAATGAGGAGACCAATTCAGCAGGGTCACTTGTTGAGGATGAAGGGCATGGGCCCATGGTCATGATGCGAGATACACGTCATATGGAAGTTTTGAACCGGTACATGTCAGCGGAGGGAAACAAATATTTACACCGCCGAGCCCGGTCATTTAACAAGTGAAATAGGTAGGCCCATCCATCCATCTCAGTTGGGTTCACGAGTTTAGAGGCAGTCGAAGGCGGCTGGCACTGAATTAGCTATTCTCGCTTCCATTGCTAAAGTAGAACAAGAGCCAATGGTCAAAACGGCAACCAGATGACGATATCCCGCTTTGGCTAGATGCCCCGGTCCCACTGCATGGGCCATCCGACAACCAAGGCCTTCTGAAATTCATGGCGCTTGTCAGACGTTTCTTAAGTAGTCTGTCAATTTTACTTTCCTGCTCCCTTAGTTTCCTCCTTGCCCTATGCTTCCATTTCAGATGTCATTTCCCAGAAGAATTTGTAGCCACAACGACTACCTATAAGGGCAGTTTAATCAGCGAGACCCTCCAAATTACCAAGTAATATCAATTTTCAGACTCACATTTCATGTGGTAACATCCACCGTTCTTCTCTATCAATGTCTTGCAAGCCGGACAGGGACTCGTTGTCTTTTGAATGACATACTCAGTCCTCTCATCCAAGGGAAGTTTCTCGATGTCGGCGTTCAGCTTTCGGAGCCTTGCTCTCTCACGTTCCTTACAGTTATGTGGGGTAACCAAGGGCACATTGCATATGAAGCAAGTTATCCGGTTACATTTCTTGCATAACAGTTCCCGAGTTCTTCGTGTACGCGGGGGAACAGGTTCACGGATCTGGAGAAAGCCACAATCGGCATAAGCGCAGGCGCTGAAATTGTGATCAAGTCGTATCGGAAGAGTGTCCATGTAGTTCAGATATCTTCAAGTTATCTAGTTAGGTTCAGAGATCCAAAGGAGGACGGGGAGATATATCACCTTTCGAACCTCTCTGTCGACATGAATCTCTTGACGGTCTCTGCAGGGAGAAGAGCTTTGCATTCAGGACATGAGAGAGTCTCTAGCTGTACGGTCTGGATCTGCATCTCTACGCAGGTGGCAAGACAGGGGTTGCAGATTGAAGAAGCGTGGAGGCAACTTGGTGTCATCTTGTCCTTTGGGAACGAGGAGGTGGGCATCGTCTCCATGCACACGGTGCACTCTAGCTGGGGCTCTTCGACTCCCATGGCTGTCAGGTTGTCCTCTTCGGAAGCTTATTGATGCTTTTTAACCCTCCTATCGGAGTCTCATATTAGATATGGACAAGAGATGTAAAAGGCGGGTTGAAATGGTAAAGATTCCTGTAGGTACTGGCAGTAGACGAAAGTGAATAGCAGAAACCTTCTTTCGGACAAATCAACCTCGCTGCTGCGAAAGGCGAGAGCAATAAAGAAGGATTTTACAACCACGCGTATTTACCACATATTTACAATGGGCATGGAAATGTTCGTCTAAGATCGATCTTACTTGCAGTGAATATCAATGGTAAGATTTCATTATTTTGGTGGCCCATATATTTATTTCACGACGACGCGTCTGTAATGACCTACAAACCGGCTATGGCACACAGATTCTAAGGCAACGAACGATTATATGAAGCTCTTTAGATCGTGTTTTTAAATACCCTCGAAGTTGAATTTCTCTCCCTCGGAGCATTAGATCGAAAATTAGATCGATGCTTAGAAGGCTAAGGAAATACATCATAAGGTACCTCGTTTCCTTCGTTAACTGTCTCCAAATCATAGCAGTTTCCAGACAGCATACATTCTCACTAGTTTCTTCTGATGTCAGTGAATCATAACACATCGAGTGTCAGAACTGAGTGGAAGGTACGAGTAGCTAGTCCTCTCCCAGGTATATCTTTTGTCCACATTCGCCTTCAGTTTCTCAAGCATCCACATACGTTCACGGTTGTCAGCCCACGAAACATCAATAATCATGCCGAACGATTTCAAAACGCAAAGAGACTACATCATGATCTACCACACCGCATTCGTCGATGCCCTCATTACCGTCATCGCCGAGCGTGCCTGCCAACATTACTACGCCGTCCACCACTCACCCCATGCTCTCCCATTCACGAGCCAGATTTTCATCTACGCCGGTCTACCTCTGCATCTTCAAGGCTTCGCCGAGGACTTGATCAGTGACGAAAAGCCTCATCACTCGCGACACTACGCCTTGGTCCCTGATGTGAGAGGGAAATTGGCCTGCTGGATTGTACAAAACCGGATGGGACTTGATGGTATCCCTGGCGATACCAAGGAGAAGTTCAGCAGGAAATACAAACGCAAAGCCATGAGTACCTGGTACGAAGATTGTTTTCGGTGGATGTTTGGAATAGATGTGCACGAAGCGCGCGATACTCACCTGGGAATCACGAGAGTCGAGGTGAAGAAAGAACCCGAGGGGAGCAACGCTGGAGCTGACGAAGATGAACCTATGCCTGTCAAGAAATTCCGTAAAGTCAGCATTCGGAAGACTTTGCGTACATCCAAAGCAGCTTCAAATGCGGTAGCCAAGGATTCCACGATCATACCTTCAGCTACAGTGGCTCAGAAAATGAAGGGAGGGCGGAAGCGCAAGATAATTGATACGAAGGTGAAGAAGTCCAAATAAACCCCACGGGTGGGTGCCAATGAGTGGTGGCCATGCACGGTGCAGTGCCATCGGAGCTGGTCTTGAGGGGATCAGAAGCTGGCTGCCTGCCTTCTAAGCGGCTTCTGGGGATTGCATGGAATTTGATGGTTTGGTAACAGAGCAAAAGTATTATTCTTGAGTTTCAGAAGGTTTCACTTTCCTACTCCCTCGATGGAAGAGCTTTGTTGCCACCTGAAGTGATGTCGTGTGCCTGTAAGCTCGTTTAGCTTCCCTATTTTCAACTTCCGAAAGCACTCATACTTCCTAGTGCCTATTTCATTCCCGTCCCACAATGCGTATAGAAAGGAATGGTCCTGAACTCGCGAGTGTGAAAATGATATAACTGTGATGTGACTGGAAATATTTTGAACTTTCCAGTTACATCCAGGGGCAGGTCTCAATCCCCAGACATCCCGGCTTTAAAGATCAACCTCCTCCCCCTCGAGCCACTTTTTACACTGCCAATACAATAGATCATGTTTTTTCCCGGACTCTGTCTCCGGCTCCCTTCTATGGCCAGGCATGTCCAACATAACCTTTACGCCCATCGTCGCCTCCTGACAATACGCCAGATACCTATATCCGCTTGGATAACCCTTCAGCCTCTCATCATCCAGCTCCGGAACCCTCCTCGGATCCACAGGAATCAGCTTATCCTTCTCATACCAATGGCGGACAAAACGTGCGCGCCACTGGCCTTGCAGCGGGCCATCAGTCTCCTTGCGCCAGAAGAAGCAGAAGCGGCAATCGCTCTCGGCGTCGACGGCGCAGCCGTCCAGCACGAAGCGCTGCGTGATCGTGGCCTTCATCTTGGTCACGGCAAGCAGGCCCGACGGCGCGATGTCACTGGTCACGCCGTGGCAGCGGTGCATGATGAACGCGCCGCGGTCCATGCCGGCCTGCGACCCGGCGATGAAGTCTAGATGGTGCGTGCGCCCCGTCCAGGTCGTGTAGATGTAGGCCGAGGGGTGGAAGATGGATTTCAGGTTCTCCCATTCGCAGGCGTCGCTTTGTGATGGGGTGTTAGTAGGTCGGGATGTTCGGAAAGGGGGGGAAGGGGGCGGGGGGATACCGATAGCAAGGCCATCCCTCGGCGAGCTCGCGGAGCTTGTAGCGCTCGAGAACTAGCTCGTCGGGCCCATTGTTGCGGATTGCGTTCTCGGGTCGGGATCCCGTGGGGAGAGAATGCAGATCCGGCATCTTGAGGATCGACTTATAAAGAAGGTTGAGCGCAAGTATGTGCAAGACGCACCGTGAAGCTCAGGTGGATGTTGAAGAACGCAGCAATATTGAAAGGAAGAACAATTGCTAATATAAGCAGTGATTGCCAAATCACGATACAAAACGAATCGACCCTAGAACCTAACCTACCGTGTAGATATGTCCCCTGTTATGAAGGCTCGACGTTGAAGATTCATGACTCTTGACCCCGCGATCTGGCCGCGCAATGCCCGCGCGGGGAGGATCCAGCTAGATCCCATTACTCTCCGGCTAAATATACATAAGGGGGGTTTCTCCGACGAATTCCAACTATGGATTTATCACCTTCATGGGGTCTGGTTCGTAAATCTGTAGAGCGAGGTTGATAGATGGACGTTGGGGATCTCTCGAGCCTTGTCGGAAATGCCCTTATCCGCGGCGGAAGCGGATCTAGAGTTCCGCTGCGGATCCGATGCCCCCCCTTTTTTTCTCCGGCTGCCCATCACCACAAATCACTGTCGCTGATGAAGAAGCAAATATTTGTGGGTTGCTTCAGTGTGTAATGAATCCGTGAAGAGATGATAGGGAAAGAATGTAGGACAGGGCCGGCAGAGGATTTATGCGAGGTCGTTGTGCCAAATGGCTGCTCTCTGCTCTTCCCCGGAGACTGGGAAGGCGATGGGGTGCTGCGTTCTCTGATATCTCTTTGTATGTTTTGCTCCTAATAGGACTGTGTCCCCTGCTAATACTTAGAGAGCCTAAGATGATACTGGATGAAAGCGAGGCCCTTTCTAAATCTTGTAGGTTCGCTTGCTGTAACCCCTGAATAGGTATCCATAGACTCACAGGCAACTGCATTCTGCACGTTTGATGGAGCAACGCTGAGCCCTATGGCAGAGGAGTTATTTGAAAGTAATCAAATAAAATCGAGACATGGAGTCAAAACCAGCAAAAGCCTTGGGTGTTCACAACAGTGTCTGGAGTGCCAACAAACCGAAAGGTACAACCTTTGACTTTTTCCTCCTTCATTATGATCGTGCATCTAACAACCTCATAATTATCAGTTTCGTAAGCTCTTAAGGCATCCTCATCCTCTTTTGACATCACTAGGTATGCTGACCCATCAACTTGAGAATTGACATCTCCATCTAACAGGGCCTTGTATTTACTACCCCATGTTGCCAGGATTCCTCTGGGGATACTGGCACACTTGAGAACAGGAATTTCGGTCTCTGGAAGGGATAGCCGCCGTTGTAGAATGCAGGCATCGGCCAATTTCCCGTAAAAGAAGTACCAGACGGGATATTGGTCTTGTGAGGGCAGTATGGTTGTGTTTTGAGTAGCAAGGCGGTATTGTGGGAGGGTGGAATCCTGTCCAAGGGTTGGATATATCGAGTTGTTGGAAAAGTCTTTCGGTGCTCTTTGAAAAAGCCGAACGAATGTAGGCTCAAAGAGAAGGTTTTGCATTGTAAGCCAATGAGTTATGGTATGTTTGGCTTTGCCATCGATGGTGCAGAAAAAGGAGGAATGTCCGTCGTCTCTCGTTGCTTGAATCGCATCAGGACATTCATCTAATCCAGCGGCGTCCTGGATCTTCTCGGGAGTATCCAGAATGCCATCGAGCTTTATCAGATACATTGCACGTGCCTGTGTTGGGGACAAAGGTGGAGCTCCAGTTGTTGGTGGTTTTGCCCTTGGCTTTCCACCTATCTCAACCTCATGCTCGTAGGCTTCACGATCGTATCCCTGGGCTTCCTTCTCTGTTCTAACCATTTCCCAATGGTCATCTGATACTCCTTGCCTGGAGAGATCACCTCTTCTTTGTTTGATAAGTTCGGCGGCATTTGCGTAGCTGTAGCCGAAGAGTTGCTGCCATCTGGCAATATCAGTGTCAGATGGCTCCTGACAATTCTCCACATCAATGGAATTAGCTGCGTTGCGTGCCATCTGCTCTACTTCTTCCAAGAGCTCCATGATTAGAGCCTCGAAAGGATGCCTGTAGTCAACTGGCTGGTGACGTGGTGCAGTTCATAGAATCTCGTGGATAACCCGAGGTGGGAATTTTAATCTTTGGGATCGTGGAGATAAGTTGTGATTGAGATGTTGTCAATGCTAGAAAGAGGTTGATGTTGGTTTTACATCACCTTTGACCCGCTTTCAGTGAGATCGTTGCGAGTCAAAAAAGACTTGGTGGCGAAGGAATGGGGTGATGCGCCGATTACCTTACAAGGTTGGTTGCCATACCAATCAGGGGCGTCTTGAACATATCGAGAGCAATTGTGACAAGAGATGATTTCCTTCAGATGCTTTTCGAATAAATCTACGGGCGGTGTTGGCAAACTGCTCACGTTACTCGGGAGTCAGGTGACTCGGGAGCTGGCTGAGCCGGAGGTCAGCCGAGGGTGATCTGAAGTAGGCTGAGGATATCCCTGACGGTGAATAAATGTATATTAAGAGCGGTTATAGGTCATAAACTCTCGTTAAACAGTTATATGATTCTGCAATAGTTGTGCCCTATCAACCCTTGTCGACCAGTCCTCCCCTTTTCCCCTCGCCTAACTCAGGAGATCAAATCACCATCTCGAACCTGTATCCCACGCACTACCTTCAGTATCTTGCATTCTACTTTATGACCCTTCTCACTCCATCCCCTCGTCTGACATTCCTGCATTCTAGATTTAGCCCCGCGGATAACCATATCTCCTCCAAAATCGGGAAACAGAGAAAGAGAAGGAAACGGACCTTGTCGCAGTACCAGACAGATTCACACCCGCGACAGCGGAATAGCTGGCTCTGGAATTTTATCGCAGTACATGATTGACAGATTGCGGTGTCTGGGTTCATGCCGGTTGGAGATGCAATTTGGCTGAGTTGCAGCAGCTTCTCGAGGCTGGCTGGGACGAGCTGCTTTTAATTGTTAGCTGTTGAATTTCCTGTGCTTTTGAATGACTTTATACATCATAGAGACTGAAATATACTTGCTGAACATTGCCAATATCGTACAGCTTGATACCCAAAGAACCCAAAATTCAAAATCTAAAACCTTAGAATAAAGAGCGGCAAAAGAAAAAGGGAAATCAATTAAACAAAACTCACCACCAGAGCCCCTAATCGCACCTCAATAAACCCTTGCTTTCCCTCCGCAGCGTCCTTCCTCAAGGCCCCGGGAATCGCAATTGTATAGCCCTTCCTAAACTTCTTGACATCAAACTCTTCTTTCCCATTCTCTTTACTCTTACACCCACTACCTTTCTCACTAATGTTTTTACCCCGCTGACCAATACTATCATTTAACAATATCTTGACAGCAAAGGAAGACGAAGTGACGTCTTTGCAGATAAAGGTTGGCGTGTTGGTGAAGGTCATATTCTCGAAAATCGTTCCCAGGAGGTAATACCTAGGGGTCATTAGCGAGGGTCTTACGTGAAGAATGGGATAGGCTGAATACTTAGGAGGGTTTTTGGACGGTGAGAGTATGTTGGGATCATTGTCGTTGTTTGAGGAGGCGAAAGGGCAGCTGGCGAATGTGGGGAAGAGGGCGCGGTTTTGGAGGTCGGGGAAAGGCATGGCACGGGACCTGAAGCGAAACGATATTTAATAGGTAGGAGACAAGAAATAGAAGTTTCTGCTTTAGAGAGTGTTAAATAGTTTAGACTTTATTTCTCGGCCTAGGGGGTTTCGAGAGGTTGAAAGGAGCTGATACGTGTGTGAAACGCGCGGCTATCATCCATTCATCTCCCTACTGCCGTATATTCCGACGAGTCTGCCCCTAATCGGCCACACACTGTGACCGTGGATATGATGTGGTAGCCCGTTCAGATATACTTATTGTCTAGTTTAGGCATTTTGGCGGAGATATATGTAGAAAAGTTTGCGGTACTTCATCCTCACTTTGGGAATGCCCCTCGCTTGGGGTGCTTGGCGATTTCAGGGGCGTTTCGCTTCGTAGGGGGCTAAAACGAGCACGTGATTATGATCCTATATCCTCTTTACCTCCTCAATCGGTTGAAGACACTTGTTTCTGGAGAGTAAGATAGACGGTATCGTTGAAATAAAATTCCAGCTGGTTCAGGGACCTAGGTAATAACTCTGATATCAAAGATATTATGTTCGAAGCATACCATCGCTCGATTCTCTGGGTTCGGGGTGGATTTGTCGAGGAAGACGTTGTACTCAACATGTAATAACCGATCATGCAACATTGAGTGTTAGAGTTGCATGGTGATAACATCATAGACAGCACTGAGATTATTCAGGCCGGCTGCTGCAAGAGCCCTACAGCTAGCCATTTTTATGTAGAGAAAGATGGCCATGAATATAAAATCGCGGAAGGCGGCGAGAAGCACAGATGGTATGGAGAAGTAACTCACTTTCAATGCAACAATCGAGCATTTGCAGGCTTGCGAATGGGCATGTCAACACAAAGACTGATGTGGAGCAAAATCATAATCCGTTGGTGGAAGATCTTTATCCAGTACCGCGGATTGAACATAGAGCTGACCATGAGGACGCTGTCAATACGTTTCGAGAATATGGACTTATCAGAGGCAACGATCTTTCGATCTGCTGCGAATCCTGCCAGTCAACTTGATACTCGCTCAACGCAATCTCACACTTACCATCCAAAAAGCCGTAGACAGAGACTTGACGTAATTGAAAAGTTCTAAGAATGATTTCTGAGGAAGGCTCTTGGTGTGGATAATGGAACCCCATCTCTTACAGGAGAGGAGTATTGAGGAATATATAAAACGAACGCACTTGCTTCCCCACATAAGGAGACACCATTGTGTTCAGATTCATATATCATTTGATCAGAAAAGTAGGTATATAGCTGTGAAAAAGACACACAAATCAGCGAAATCGACGAAGAAGAGAAGGACAGGGAAGGCATAATGACTTGAGAAGTGCCGAGGCTAAAGGCGGGCCGACTTCGACAAACTCGGTATCCGCTTCTATACTAAGCGTTCACATACGCTGGTGCGCTTCAACTTTGAATACAACACTGGAAATGATTGGAAGGTAAGTTTCTTGACTCGAGAATCCCAATAAATCTCTATTTGAAAACCCGTACCCAGCGTCTAGGAAATCTGGCCATACTATGCGAGTCACCTTCTTCTCTCCTCTCCTATCTCCCAATACCAGCCACTTTGGATGACTTGTTTCTTTCATCCGTCTTGTAACCATCCATCAACTCCGCGCAACTGCCTCTATATCCGTCTCCGCCCATCGTGAATCGTAAAATCGACAAGGAGACATTTATGTCATCGCGTGAGTCCTAGTCCACTCTTTGGCGGTTGCAATAGCAGCTGGCTCGTCCTCCTTCCATCTTTTCGCTACATCGGGTGCCAATGGATCGTCGGGATTGGGAGCGCCGAGGAGGGCTTGGATAGACAGAAGGATGGTTCGGATTTGGAGTGCGGGGGACCAATTGCCTATAAATCCGATATCAGCTACAAGAGCAGAACGATGAAGGGTTCAAGATGGGAAGCAGACGTACTCTTTAGGACATCCAGACAAATGCGACCCAGCTTGTCGATATTGGGATGGTAGATCTTGGTCAGGAATCTGATCTTCGGAGGGGTCATTGGGTAATCATCCGGAAGGAAAAGCTCGAGCTTGAAGATACCACCTACCACAATATATCAGATCATTGGGGGTTCGATACAGCCGGAAGAGAATTCTGACCTTCATATGGAGAACTGGAGGGGCCGTGGATCGTGACATCAAAATATCTTAGATTATCCTCGTGAGGAATAGCGCTGATACCCGGGACACTGAAATTTGATCTTGTCAGTATCGTATCATTCTCGGGCATCCTATCATGTGCTTACGGCTCTGCCATCAATCTCTCCGTCTCCTTGATGATGCGCTTTGGTAACGCCATGGTGGGGGTTTAGCAGCCTCGGTTGCAGATAGGGAGGGGAATGTCGCAAATAATCGGAGGCCACAGATACTAAAAGAGAGACCCTAGAGCGAGAGCACTCTGCAGAGGACGGCGACTTCAAAAGCAGGATAGAGTATTATCTCGATAAGGAAGCGCGCGAGTTTGGTGAGGGTTGGTGGGGACTAGAGAGCGCCGCGATTCTGGTGGATGGAAAAGATGGTTGGTTGCCACTGGGATCCGGGATTCTTCATACAGCGAGATTCACAAAGACTGAGACCGCGTTGTCTAGGACTGTGTAGGATATGTCTGTTCCTCGAAGTAAAATAAGGAAGCAAGGCTCATGATTCCGACTTTGAGAGATTTGTCGATACGCACGGTAAGCTCCGCTCCCCGCTCCGGCGGCGCTATGCCCGATTTGGAGCTTTGAAGATACTCTGTACATATCTTCAAGACGCATCTCCATGCTTTACTGAAGCTCTGTAGAGCTTTACGCATAACGCCTCCTTCGTATCTATAATCATTATTGTTTAATGCACTGCATGACTGTCGCGCAGCCTCATCCTTTTCGTCACACCATGCAAGGCGGAAGCTCGCATTCGAGCTGGTGCAGATCCTGGATGTTCTCAAGGTGATAGCCCAGAGATGATGTGAAGTTACTACCGCCAAAATGATGGAAGAGTCCAGGAAAGGAAAGACTATAAAGTCTGCGTTTGATAGCACCACTTTTGACGCGGATGTATCAATTCATGTCGAGCGCAAGGTTGGGTCGGCAACCATCTCACCCTCGGGGCGAGATGTTGCCCTTGCATCGTACGTATATATCTCTTGATTCCCAGAGCTTGACTAACCGCATCTTGGTAGTACTGATGGACTTGATATTATTGACCTTGACTCCCCTCTGAATCCCCCGCGTCACCTTCGCCACGGTCTTCCTTGGCTTGTCGCGGATGTACAATGGTCGCCATTTGCTGCACGGGATTATTGGGTTGTCAGTACCGCAAACCAAAAGGCATTGGTATGGAATTTGAATATGCAGGAGGATGCATCACAAGGAGCCATCGAACATACGCTCCACGGGCATACCAGAGCTATCACGGATATCAACTTCTCTGCGCATCACCCAGATATCCTCGCAACATGCGCTGTCGATGGTTATGTACATTGCTGGGACTTGCGGCGGCCGAGACAGCCTGTTCTTACCTTTTGCGATTGGTTTGCCGGAGCCACACAGGTCAAATACAATCGTCAAGATTCACACATTCTAGCCTCTTCTCATGATCGGTGGCTCAGGATTTGGGATGATAGGAAGGGTGCTGCACCATTGAGATCTATCGATGCACACGAATCCAAAATTTATGGCGTCGATTGGAACCGTACTAGGACCACAGGAATAGTGACTTGCTCACTGGACAAAAGCATTAAGTTTTGGGACTACGGCAATGAGTTGGACGAGCCGGAACGCATTATCAGGACTGACTTTCCTGTATGGCGAGCACGGCACACTCCCTTTGGATGGGGCCTCCTAGCCATGCCGCAGGATACTCCCGGACAGCTCCATCTTTACGAGCGCAGGCTGAAAGGTGGTGTTGTAGACTCGAAGGCTACCACAGTTAAAACATTTCCTGGACATGGGAACTATAAGGTCAAAGAATTCTTGTGGAGAACCCGCGGCGGTATCACGGATGATGGGGTTGATAACCGAGAATTCCAACTTGTATCTTGGGGCGAGGACAATCAATTGCGCTTACAACGTGTGGATGCTGAGACTCTTGAAGGCGTGGGTCACGTGAAAGGCAGCCAAGTGCACAGAAGGTTGAATGTGACACGAAAAGGTGCGGTCTACAAGACCTTCCGTACGGTCGAAAGTTCATCGACCGAGAAAAAAGCTGCAACGATCACGGGCCCTCGACCTGGAAGTTCTGGCCTGAAGGTTAGTGCATTGAGTGCTGGCATGAAAAAGATGACCTTACCGCATACAACTCGTACTCATATGATGATTCGAGCGCCTGCTGTGAAGGGAAAAGACAAGAAACCAAAACAAGATGACCAAAATCAGAAGCAGATTGGTTGGATGAGTGGTATAAAATTTAGCAGGCAAGAAAACGGCCAACCATCTCAAAAACGGCCACCTTCTAGGAGGCTATCGCTTCTAAACCCCGAGTTCGCAGAAGATGGAGACTGGGATGCACCGGAAAGTCTGCATGATGAGATTATACGTATCCACGAGCAACTTCCCAAGATCACTTTCGACGACGTCAACATGGATAAGAGGGTAGTAGTTGTCTCGATGAATGGACCCTGGGGCGAAGAAGGAAACCCTATCTACATCAAAGTTACTATGTCATTTCCAGACCAGTACCCTGAGACGAAAGCGCCTACCTTTACATTGCACAAGACATCACTCATGCCAAGTGAAATATACAGCAAGCTGAAACGCGAGGTACAACATATAGCATCCGGTTTTGTATCTCGCAAGCAAGGTTGTCTCGAGGCAACCCTTTGCTATCTATTGGGAGAAGTAGACCTCGAGGCGAGCACCACCTTCTTAAAGGATTTTGACGGTATTGACGACGATCTCGACGGATTAGCTGATGAGAGCTCCAGCGATGACGATGCTGCTGATATACCCGCGGGGGCTTCGGCTATGATGTCTCAGGAGCTCGACTCCAGCGCTACTGAAGACATGCTATCAGCGATGAATCGGAATGCCAACGTTCCCCTTCCGAGACTTTGCGGTGCTCGATTCTCGATGAATGGCAAACTAGTATGCTTCTTTCCCCGGAAAGAGGACAAAGTGAAATCGCTCTTGGGGACATTAGTCGCTAAGAACAATGCGCGGTCGAAAGGAGAGCCCATCTTCGAAACGTTTGGGCGATTAACTAATAACACATCTCCTGTTCCACGAGGAAAGACAATGTCTCTGGCCTCAGAAAGCCGAGATGACTCAGACTCTTCAGACGATACTGAATTATCATCATCGAGTGATTCTGACTCCTCTCACTACCGAGTTGCACGATTTCCCATGTCAGACTATTTCCGCAGATCTAACCGTCGCCGCTATATGAGAGTTTCTCCTACAATTCTGTCTCAGAGATCAAGTGCTGCAGGTACTGGGACTGGTACAAATGCCGGGACGGGCACTGGACTTAGCAGGTCTCGAGCACCGATGTCCAAGAACATTGTATCTCTGTATGATGTCAGTGATCTGTTGCCCTCGAAGATTGTGCTTGCAAACGAATACGCTATATTTGGAGACGGCCCAGATGTATGCAGTACAAACGCGACTATTGCTGAGAAGCATGGCCTGAGGGATCTTGCAGATATTTGGAGATATGCCTCTATGCTACTACACAATGAGGTTCCTCTCGAGGTTCTTGCTCAGAATCACCGTCGTGAGCCAATACTGGTGATCGCAAAAAATTCGATAAAACATTCTCGTGGGGATAGTGGCTCAGATAGCGGTATCGACGTATCTGATGACTTTGATCGTACAAATAGACTATCTGGTAGGGTTAAATGGGGAACTAATCCCCTTGCCAGAAAGGCTGTCGGCGATTTATTTGCTCATTTTGAGAGACTTGCGGACGTTCAGATGTTGGCAATGTTATCGTGTGTTTTCAGTGAGTCCTCTACTGAAGATACAACGTCTCAAGCGGAGGTACGATTGGCAACACCACAAACACCTTTATCGATGAAGATGCCTGCCTTCTCTCTTGACTACTTTCCAACCGAGGCTGCAGCTTGGAGCATGTACCGAAGGACTCATATAAACTCTGCCGTCTCAACGCCGAGGCTAGCTCAAACACCCTCTGGCTTGTACGGCTCTGTGGGGTCGTCAAATGGACCTTGGGGAAGTGATCCAGCATCAGCTTCGTATTCATGTGGAGACACTCCTCCATTGAAATCAATTCGTGCAAGCCCAGAACACCCTAATACTCAAAGCCTGTCCACATCTCCAGAGAACCCCCGCACCTTTCGTCGGGGTAATTCAGGACTTGCATCTACCTTTGCTGCAAGCTTCTCCCGTCCATTCTCAGTCACCGCTTCTTCGTCACCGCCAAATCCGCCAACTGGCCGGAAGCGACCAAGCCCGGTCGAAAACATGCTCAGTTCATTGGCTCCTAGTGCTATCACATGGGGTAATACAACCGTTCTTGGAAGTGTGAAGGAGCAGGTTGGTGCCGAAAGATTGCCCTACTCTGACGACAAGGAGGCAGAGGATTCTGGACAGCTAGCAGTCTGCACTGGAATCAGTGTAACCATGGAGAATCAGAGCGCCTTCGACGATGAAGGCTGCATGAGTTCGCCATTATTGGACCCCTCCCACTCAGCCCTTCATGCAGGATATCGAGCAGCATATGCTGATCTTCTTTTCATTTGGGGCCACCCTCTAGCACGACTCGAGATTCTCAAATTTAACGGGCTGAAAGATTCCTTCTCGGAAGTTGATATTCCTGATAACAAATCTTTCGCTGCATCAATTCTATCTAACGAGAGCCGTACCTTGAGCCATGAACATTCTCCATCTCCGATCGTCCTCGGCAAGAAAGATCATTCTTTGGCACCCCATACACACACGGATCAGGGCCTCGACGTGATAGGCTACTGTCTTAAACATGATCTTCGTCTCGACCCCGTCAATCCCGGATCCCCAGCCGGTGCAGTTGGGCGTTGCGAACGTTGTAAGGCCATTCAACGCCAACTTCGCTGCACAATCTGCATAGAGCCCATCACTGCAGTCTACTCCGCCTGCCTCTCCTGCGGCTGCGCAACGCATGAACATTGTTTGGCCGAATATCATTCTTTCGGCGACACGAATTGTCCTGGAGGCTGCGAATGCGACTGTGGGGAGAGAGCAAGCGACGGTATAGTTGAGAGCTGGGAAGTAATGCTCGATGCGATTGAGCGATTGAAGTTGCAAGACACGAATAACTCGGGGAAGGAAAAGGAAGGTTTAGAGGATTGGGATAGTGGGGAGCAAGCCGATTGGGATATGGCTCAAACCCTGAATGGCGGCCCTGGGAGGGGATATCCGACGCTGAGTAGAAGATTTGGACAGATAAGGTCTGGAGATTGGGGGATATCCGGCGGCAAGAAGAAAGCGAGTAGTTTGAGGTAGGAGGAGCATTAAATACCTGCATTCAGCTGGCGTTCAAGCATGGTGTTGAGGATATCGCATAGGTATGTAGGATTATGGGCGAGAACAAAGGATGGGGCTTGAGATAATTAAGTAATGAATGCATGACAATTATTGATCAAAGCAGGAGTCTACTATTTATTCTATCCTTCTCCTTTGCCAGACATCGATAGGTAGGCTATTCAGTAGGACATTATTGCACGTCGCTCTGAAAGTCAGAATCCTACTCACAGTACAAAATTTATAGACTGCACGAGATATTCCCGTCAAGTTCTAGATCAACGGGCGAAGTGAAATTGTTCTTGATATATGAAAACTTGACTCCCTAATGTTATCATTCATTGGGGCGCTCCAAAACAAAATGCTGCAAATCGCTCTTTTTAGCACCCTGAAGCGCTGCTCTTTCATAATAACCCTTCAATAGCTGCCTTTTCTGAAATCCTGCTTTCTCCAACACCCTCGTACTCGCAAGGTTCTCTGGATCAGCGAAGGCTGTCAAATGATCATACGAATTTTGCTCTACTCCCTCGTCAGTATCTCCCAGTTAATCAATCATATATCATCCCGTATCAAAAAGACAAAAGCACGAAACTACACCGACCTCCCGATTGCCAGAACAAATCCAGGAACATCTGAAGTGCCTCAGACATATACCCTTTCCCCCAATAATCCGGATGGATCTTGTACGCAAGCTCTGCTTCTCTGGGAGTGCCAACAACCCCAATCATTCTCAGCTTTTGGGTTTCCGTCGAGAGTGGGGTGCTGGGATTGGATCGAAGCAGGATTGCGTATCTCGTGTTCCATGGCTTCTCGGGGCTGGGTTGGCTAGCGAGTATGAGTGCGAGTGTTTCTTGGGGACTCGTATGAGGAGAGCTTCTCCTGTTGGATTAAAATATAAGTAATTGATCCAGCACGATTCTAATGATGAGAAGTGAGTTCGTACGACCACCGCATCGATTCGGGATGGGACATGATCTGATAATAATCGTTCAAATGCTCGTCCACGCTGAGAGGTTGAAGGAATAAACGCTTTGATTCAGCTGCGTAGGAAGACATTTCTACTTAAAGATATTTTCCTGAAAACTATTCGGACTTGAAGGCGTTGAGCAATATGTTGCCTGTGTATCTAGAACATGTTATACAGAATCCCTGGTTGGACTATGAAATGAAATGTGAGATGAGTCATACCAACAGCCTTGAGACAAAATAGGAAGGACGTTGAGTTAGAAACAAGAAAACATGAATATTGTCAAAGAAAGTCATTTAGATAAAGCATAATGGTATCTAATCCCAGGTTCCAGTGCGCGATGGTATCTCATAGCGCTCTTGGAAGTCTAGCTTAATCCTACCCCTGAAATTAGCGAGCTCGGGCACGATAATACAGATCGGTATTGTATATAAATCGAATGGCAATAGAGCCATAAGGATGAAGAAGCAAATTTTGCACCATGAGCGTGCTTTCAATGAATAGGATTTCAGGAACACTGGTGAGAAGACATTGAAGGTTCGTGGTCTAGGTCACGTGCAAGGAGGCGCGGGCCGGGCGGACCGGCGAAACATTGCAATGATTGCACCTGCGGGGAAACAACATCCCGCTCAGCCCTGCTCATCGCAATTATATTCATCTTCCCGTGTATCAACTGCGCACCTTTCAATGGGACATCTCATGACAGCGCATTGCATATACTTGTGGACAATGACTGGGTTGTGGTTTGCCTGTTGGTGTGCGGCATGAGTTGTATACAGAATTGGAGGTCTCTGCTCCCTGCGCCCTTTTACCTGCTCCCCGAGGGGACCCACGATGCCATCCAGAGACCTACGAATAACCGTGCAGAGCATGAGTTGAAGCTTCAATTTCTGCGCCAGCAATCAATACCTTTCTTGGATCCTTCATGCATCTATTCCCCTGGTAGGGATTGCCAAGTGGCACAGAGTAAGCTCGGCCGAGAGTTCTCACCGTCGGATATAAGTGTTCCTCCAGCTGGTACTATAAGTATAGGCAACAGCACTCTCCTTGGAGGTTTATTATCTGTCTTCATCTCTTTAATTATCTCAATCAACATCTTGATCTTCTTAGCTTTTTTATCACTCCACACAATCAAACAAGCTACACCAAGACACATTCGGAAGCAATGATGTCTCCACCCAAGATCGCTCTCATCGGCGCTGGTCCGGCCGGTCTCACGCTTGCACGCCTTCTCCAACAGAATCAGTTCAACTGCACCATCTACGAATCGGAGGTTGACCGCTATGTACGAAATCAAGGCGGCACACTTGATCTTCACACAAAGACGGGGCAACTGGCTCTCAAGGAAGCTGGACTGCTGGAAGAATTCAAAAAGTATGCTCGGCCTGAAGGCGAGTGTATGAAACTCGTCAAGCACGACGGAACTGTTCTCTGGGATGAGAATGAGACAGGCAATTCCAACCGGGTAGCAGAAGATAGCGATCGCCCCGAGATTGATCGTGTTCGACTGCGCGATATTCTACTAGATTCCCTCCAACCCGGTACCATCAAATGGAACCGGAAACTCCTCCGTGTAGATGCAGATACAAAGACCAGAGGGATCTCCGGAGACAGAGAGACATACACCTTGCATTTCACTGATGGCAGTGTGGAGAAAGATATCGATCTTCTTGTCGGTGCAGATGGTGCCTGGTCAAAGGTACGACCTTTACTCACGGACGAGCAGCCATTCTACTCTGGTATCACCTGCATCGAACTCTGGTCTCTGGGTGTCGATGCGAAAAACCCATGGCTTTCTCGGTATGTTGGCAAAGGAAGCTGTTTTATGTTCGATGAAGGGCGAGCGCTGCTCTGCCAGCGCAACGGAGAACAAAACGGCAGTGTTCGCACCTACGCCTGTGTGCGCATGCCAGAAAAATGGGCTGAGGAGTCTGGCATCGACTGGGCTGGAACTCATGCAAGGGAGACGCTTGTGGAAAGACATTTCAACGATTGCGGCGACGACTTGAAACGTCTCATTCTTGAAAGTCGCGACGAGCTTATTGTACGCAAGGCTTGGATGTTACCAGTTGGTATCAAATGGGAGTCGCGCCCTGGGGTTACTTTGCTGGGCGATGCCGCTCATCTCATGACTCCATTTGCCGGTGTTGGTGTGAATGTCGCCATGGCCGATGCGCTTGAATTAGCTCGAGCATTAATATCTTGCAAAGACAGCGTGGTGGCTAAGGAATCCAGTGATGATCACAATATTGCTGTTGCCATTAAGCAGTACGAGACGGAGATGTTCGAGCGTGGGAGGCAGAATGCACAGAAAACATGGGACAATATGCAAGGGCATTTCAGTGCCAACGGGAGTGAAGAATTGGCAGCGAGACTGAAAGGACATAATTGAAAGACGAAGGCTGACTGGTTTGATTTGACTTTCAAGGCTAAGATGAAGCTTGAGTGGGCGATGGTTTTCTGTTCGGCCTGTTTTCTGTCTTGCCATTTTGCGCACTCTTCTTCTTAAAGAAATCTGAAAATTTTATATCCCCTTTAAGTTTCACTGTGGTTCAATTTTGATCACGAAAAGTATAATAGGAATCCCAAAAGATATACCACTGCACTTAAATCAAGTACTGAATTCCTCAGGATGCCAAGTTTGATACCGATTCTAGAGGGTGTTTAGATCTGGTAACCATATCGCTCTCTACTGTCATAGGGGCAACAATGTGCGCCCCAGATGAGCAACTGGATGATTCCTAAGGGACTTGGGATTGAGCCAAGCTATTCGGACTCTTGATTATTCATTCCTTTCGTAATTCTGTTTCTTCTGAGCTATTTTTGCCTATGTCAAGCTTCATATCCATACACGCCACTTTACTTATCCTTGTATATTGATCAAGCAGAAAGTACTTGAAACGAGGAAGGGGGGAGGAGGAAAACAGCAAAGATGATGCAGAGATCAGTTCATCTTCCTCTAAATGTTTTCTAAGCTACCTTAGATAAAGTGGTGAGCGGTCAAGATCTCTTGTGGATAACCCCGGGGGGAAGAGGGACAGAAAGAGCAAGTACTAGACTTTTTCGTTCCTATTGCTCATGGTGAGTTTTTTGTTGCACATCATAGATGTGATTACATGTGAGAACAGTGAGTGAGATCACTAGAATGTGTTGATTGCCCGCTTTTTTTTTTATGCTCGTCCAAGAAAAAGGTTTTATACCATCACGAATGCTCTGCCTCCTTTTCGCTCGCTTGTCCAGCTTTCCGTCCACTACCGCCGGAATCACCACCACCACCGCCTTTCTCCCGTCGATGACCCCTCGAGTGACCCCTCGAACTGGCAGATCCCCTATTAGCAGATGCGCCTCTCGCGGAACCTCTGGCACGCGCCCACTCAGAACCACCAGTCTTTGTCCCACCGCTTCTCCCAGCATCCCTGCTATCTGCTCCACCGCTCCCCGCATTGCCCTTTCCCCTCACTCTCGGCCGCGGATACTTGCGCGCGATGACGAAGTCGATCTTCTCCAGTGGTTCCTCCACCCATTTCAGACCTCTCAGCCCCAGCCTCTCCCGGAGCTCCTCATCCTTGCACGTCCAGGCTTGGAAGACCTCGCTGGGCTCGCTCAGGCCCCGCAGCTCCGGGATCCAGGTCTTGACGTATTCGGCGTGCGGGTCGTAGTCGAAGGCCTGCTTGACCGGGTTGAAATTCCGCGTGTCGCGCGGGTCGTTGCCCACGCCCGCCACGTATTGCCAGTTGCCCCAGTTCGAGCTCTGGTCGTAGTCGACGAGCATGCACTCGTACCATTCGGCGCCGATGCGCCAGTCGATGTGGAGATGCTTGGTGAGGAAAGAGGCGACGTTCTGCCGCGCGCGGTTTGACGTATAGCCTGTCTGGAATAGTTCCCGCTGGCTTGCGTCGATGAGGCCCATCCCTGTGGTGCCGTTCAGGAACCGCTGGATGATTTCCGTTACGCTAGCTGTAGTTTGTCCTTCAGGTGGGTTGGAGGGGGATAACCACGTGGTGGGAGAGCCCTTGAAGCCCGAGGGGTGGAATAGCTTGGTGCCGTACTTGCGATTGCAGAGACGCATGTAGTCACGCCACAGGAGCTCGAAGCGCAAGCTTCCCGTGCCCTCATTTTCTCCCTCTCCGTAGCCGGGTACTGCGGACCAGGCGGGGTTGGTACCGTCTTCAAAGGCCAGCATAGATGCGTGGATTTGGCGTGATGTGATACAGCCGAGAGCCAGGTAGGCGGAAAGCTTGGAGGAGCAATCAGTGCCTAACAAACCATTGCGCGTGGAGTGGTAGTTGCTCATGGCTCCCGAGGAGAGTAGATGATTCAAGCGATTGTGGGCTTGCATTTCCCCGCCTTTGAAAGGATGGGCTGATTGCGCACCTTTGCAGTAGGGAGGCGGTTTTTTTGTTAATGGTGCATTGACTTGAGTGAGTGGTTTAAGGAGTGCATTTTTCAGTCCTTGAAGAGAAGTTGGGATAACAAAGGGCGGGTGTTGAGATGGGACTGAACTCTTTGATGGGAAAGTTGGCAATGTGTTTTTTGCTATTGTGGGCAGAACAGCACGCGGTTTGTTGCGAAGAGGTTCCATCATTTTACGGTAAGTAGTAAAGACATCTGGGAGCTCTTGCGGGTCTTTGAATGGAAGGTCGGCGCTGTGAAGTCAGCACGAAAGTAGTTTGATAAACGATAGAAGTAGACGTACTCATCAATAAGATACTTCTCATCTACCCAAATCACGCACTCAGCACCCGCAGCTGCGCAGGCACGCTTGACATCTCTTTCTTCCGCCTTCTCTTCAACACCTTCTTCTCCAGTCATCCAGACTCCCTTGACGTTGAGTTCCTTTGACTTTAGAATATTATCGATTACCTCACCAACCATCCCAACTCTAATATACAAGCCACTCCCTACTTCCTCTAGACCTCTCTTCAGATCCCACACACTCTCCGCCAGAAACTTCGCTCGATGCGGTCCACATCTCCAGAAGCCTCCTACTCGGCTACGTGCTTCGGGGTAGGGACTTTTTTCTTCGCTGCCGAGCGGTATGAAACCTGAGACTTCAAGTTGCTGAGCTGGGAAAACGTAAATGGGAAGGAGATGAGTGTAGCCATGCGCCTTTTCTTTGACGAGGGATTGTAGAATTGGATTGTCAGCGACGCGGAGATCCCTCCTAAAGAGGTAAACAAGCGTTTTGGAGTTGGGCATATTCGTATCGGTAATGACAGGACGCCGAGAAGAGGCGGGGTATATGATGTACATCAACTTGATAAGTGGTTAAGTGGTAAATAACGGAATGACAATAGACTTTTTTAAAATGAGCTTGCGATTGTCTAGAAGACAGAAAGTGCGTTCGAGCCGGTCTCTGAAGAGACGCTTGCTGCAAGACCAAGAGTCTTGACAGCTGGATCTCTGACCAGACGAGAAGGGAGACGGAGCATTAAAATTCTATCCATCATGAGAGGTTCATAGCCATTCAACCAGGACTCGAACAAAACGGAGCAACTTCGACATAATGGAGGCGTACCCCACTCATAATGTGACCCATGAGATCAAGCCAGGACCCACTGCAAAGCACCCGGGCGTAACCCTAAATCTAAGAAAGTATCTTTCCAGACCTTTGAGATTCTAAAGGAGCTGGTTCTGGCTCTTGTCTCGGCCAATCTGGACTCGGCGCGCAAATACTCATTCGATACAAGTCTTCCAATCAGGGCAAGGAGGGCGCCATGCTGGGCCGGATCTGGACGATGGATTCGGATCATTGAAGCCCTTCTGGGGAAGCTGCAGAAAGTCGTGCTTCTTCAGGTCTCCACGTACGGTCTTGTGCTGGACGGACATACACATCACCGCTCTGGTCTCGCGGATACCAAGAAACACAATGAGGTGTTGCGACGCGACGGGGCGGTTAGACAACTCCACCTTACTTAAGCGCCCTCGATCTTCAGATATGCCGCTAGTCCCGATACGTTACTAGCGAAGACCTCTCCAGATCGTCCAACCATAAAAGAGGACGGAGCCTCAATCTCTCTCGTTTTCTCCGCGCCCGCCAACCCACTCGACGACGACGAGCGCTACACAACGGGACGGTGAAGAGCTGCCCTCCCCAGTCGATTCGTTATATTGCAAAGCAGCAGAGGTTATATCTATGCGCGACTACGAACAGCATTCCCGCGCCGGCCCCTCGCTCATCCCGCGTTGATCCACCGTTGATCCATCGGGTCTGCCGCCGCAACGCTCCCTCCCTTGCAAGGCTACCTATCTAGTGATCCTGCTCAGCTCGCTCTCCCCGCGCCCAAGCACACACAAATACACCTTCTCGGAAGATACTAGTACCCTTGGAAAAGCACTCCTCAAGACGGGCACGCAAGAGCAACTCTATCCGCCTTCGAATGCCCTGTGGGTTCATGGAGGTATTTCGTTGATCTCGGGGTTCCCGCAGCTTTTGCAAGCCGTTCTTTATGATTCCAATATACTGGGCGCTTAATGTCGAGGATCCTATGGAACAGCCGTGACAACCGCCGTCGATACGCGGTGTGCAGGTGGCCCGAAGCTATAGCTAGCACAGGCTAAGTGGCTTGCTTACATCTGGTTTTGTCAAACAGTTCATGAAACTGTACTCGATCACTAGCTGCAGAACCCCTGTTCCGCACGGAGATTCCGCTATTGCGCGGAATCAGACATAAAATTTATGAATTCCTAGGTACTCCCGTCAATGTTTTGAGGTTGCCCAGTTTCTTGTAAGGTCTCGCTTTTCTACCTATGCTACATATCGCGCTCAATTACGTGCACTGCTCTTTCTTCCAATCCCGTTCAGTCTCCGCTGTTTAGCATACTGTCCTGTGTACACCCTGCGTCATTGGGCTCTTGCCAATCTTTCCTTGGCCGCTCTTATCCGCATGTACTCCTTTACTAGAATGGACCTTCTCAACAGTGGTATCCTTGTGCATCTGCAAGATACCCAAATCCTGTGCGTCGGATTCAATCAGATTTTGCGTTGTCTGGCAGATATCCGTAATTAAGCGGTCCAAGAGATCGAAGCTCATCGATTCTCTCACCACTACTCTAAGAATCTCGATCTTCTCCTCGTTTGGCGGAAGAGGATAGTTGGGGATAATGTACTGTTTGGCTCGGAGAAGGTTAGAGATGGTCTCCTGCTTCAAGTGTGGGAATTCTTTCTTGAATTCGTCAGAGAAGCGGAAGGCGACAACGGGGAGACCGGCATTGTAGTCTGCAGAGGTCTCGTCTGATTTCCCGAAGACGACGTCTTTTACGCCGCCGAATTTATGTTCGCCTTTCTTGCGGTGGATGTCAGATACACAGGTATACCACCCTGTGGCTTCGAGTGACTTGGAGAGGAGGCGAGCATTGGCCATGCAGTTTTCCATGATGGACTGGTAACCCTTGAATCCGAGATGGATCAGGTTGTAGTATTGTGCGATGATCTGGGCTCCCGGGCGGGAGAAGTTGAGCGTGTAGGATTCTTCTGTTCCTCCCAAGTAGTGCAACTCGAAGATCAAGTGCTTCGGGAGCATTGACTCGTCACGCCAGATAATCCAGCCTACACCAGCGTAGACGAGGCCAAATTTGTGACCGGATGTGTTTATGGACTTGACACGTGGGAGCTCGAAGTTCCACTTTGGACCTCCGGCTTTTGCGTGCGTGAATGGCGCAACGAATCCACCAGATGCGGCATCCACGTGGATGGGAATATCAACGCCAGTCTTGGCCTCATACTCGTCGAGGATCTTGGAGATCTCCTCGACGGGTTCATAGTGGCCAGTGTAGGTACTTCCGAGGATGACAAAGACACCAATGGTGTTTTCATCAATGTTCTCCTTCACCAACTCGGGATCAAGTCTGTATTGACTCTTCTCCGAAACTGGTAAGATTCTAGCCTCGACTTCGAAGTAACGGGCGAATTTCTCCAGTGCTACCTGAGCATTGGCTCCCATGATGATATTTGGTTTTGATGTGTCCTTGCCCTCCTTCATACGCTTCTCCTGCCAACGTCTCTTCATGGCCAGACCACCAAGATGGATAGCCTCTGAAGATCCGGTAGTAGCAGAGCCAATTGCTCGCTCTCCCTTTTGTACTCCCCAGAGATGGGCAATAATGCTGACGCAGCGAGCATGCATTTGCATCATTGCGGGGTACTCGTCAGCGTCGGACATGTTCTTAGAGATGTTCTCATGCATCAATGTCTCGGCCTGGGATTCCATGTAGGTACCAACGAAACTATTGACTCCACCATTAGCGGGGTGCTTACTTGGTATGGACGGGAAAGGCGGCTGTCACGTACCTGGCCAAGTTCAAGTTGGGCTTGCCATCAAGGTCCAATTCGTCCTTCAGCATCTGGTAAACAGCATCTGCCGGGGTACCGTCGTGGGGGATCTTGAATTTGGGGATTTCTTGCTTGCTTGCGTAGCGGGTAGAGTAGGGTGTGACGTGAGAGGTCCCGCCACGGGTATGGACGTGCTTCGAACCAGCTTCCTTCATGTGTAGGTTGTGAAGACTTTTGATGATCTCGTCCGGATCGACCTACGCAAGCTGTCAGCACGCTCAGGAGATGGTAGCATGGTGATTGTAGAGAGGCACTCACATGGCGTGCGAGAGACATCTTGATGGGAGAGTGTTGGAGCTTGCTGCTGCCAATCTAGATAGAAGGAAAATACGATCAATTGGAGACGAGCAGAGAAAAACGGCTGGAGAAGAGGGAAAAGAGGAGCAGGAAGAGGAAGAGGAAGAAGGCAAGAGAGAAAGAGCAGGTGAGGGGATACGTAGATATATCCTGTGTTCACAGGATATCCAGGACAAACGACCGGCAGCTGTCCCGCGTACCTTATGACGACAGCGCTTACCACCTATCCACAGGCCAAAGCGGGCATCTCCAGTTTATTTACATAGGGTCTAGCTAATAATAAATAGATCTACTGGCCCTCTTTATCCATATACATACCTAATAGGCGCATCAGTGCTGTCCCATATGGCAAGGCGGGCTGGGGCTGGTAAAGGCCGCGAATAACCAGTGAGAGGGCAAACACGCGCAGCGCGATGATTGAATCATGATGTTTCACGGAAGCGAGGCGGTTCGGACGGGAAGAAGCTTGGTGAGCTTGGTGAGGACCCCTGCATGGTGCTGGACTTGATTGCCTTACGGGGATACCTTAGGTAGGGAAGAGGCTGGTTGCCGTACGTAAGGTAGAGAAGTTGTTGAAGACGACAAAAAAGGATTCCTGAGTCCTGTCATGAGGGGGAAGAAGTAAGCTAGGTAAGGTAGGTATGTATATATTCCTTGATATGACACTTTCAGATATCAGGAAATCGCGAGACGCATAGCGCAGCGGTAATCCAGCAAGGCTTCTGTGGTCCAATGGTTAGGATTCCACCCTTCCATTCATAATACGAATGAGTTAGGTGGAGGTTCGTGTTCGATTCACGGCAGTTGCAAAATCATTTCTTTTTTGGGTTCTTTTTGCTATGTTATTCTTTTTTGTTCTTATCCCTTTTCCGGCTTTTTTATAACTCATTTTCCGGGTTTTCTTTTTGAATCTACGTTCTCATAAGACACATGCGGCAAATTTGCCACGCATCTTTTCGTCTTGCGGATCCCCCGCATCTTGGCTCTTCTTATCAGCTTATCAGTGGCACTTGAACCATGGTCCCAGGGTCCAGGAACCAAGACAAGAGAGAGAGTAGTAGTCTCTGTACCTGGTCCAGTTCGAAGAGTGTCTCTTGGCTGCTGTCTCTGCTTTCCCCGTGGATATAGGATATATATAGATTCCCGTATGAGGCATATATTCATCGTATGTAAGGACTCGGGATTACTGTGCATTACTACATCGATGCCCCTCTTCCATCTTCCATCCGCGCTCATCCGGCCTTTATGCAATTTTTATGCGGGGTTATGCACAACTAGGCGGGTTTCCACTGTTCGATGATGTCGACCTTCGCCTTGCTTATGACGACCGAGGAGCTTCTCAGCCAGAGCGAATAATACAGAGCATCTATACCCAGGTAAAGGCAGACCATCAGCCATGTAGCATCAAGAGTAAGAATCACATCCATCTATCTATCCCCTTCTTCTCTGGCGCAATTAGCTGTCTTTACACTTCGACCAGTTGCAGCACCCATCTCTTTTCTCCTCTGTCATCACTACCTAGACGACGAACCAAACTCGTTGCTCGTACAAAGTCTCCGTTGTTCTATCGGTTCCGCAATTTATTTTCCGGCAGCGTCATCTGTGCTACCTATTCCGCCTTCTGCCCTCCCGCATTCCTACATTACCAACATATGTGCTTCTTGCTCAGCTCCCTCTCATCCTTCACCTCAATTCAGTATAGATCCAGTAGATCAAGATGAAGTTGGTCTCCAGTCTCCTGCCGCTTGCGGCACTCACTTCTGCCTTTGTCGTACCTGACCAGCAGATTACGGAGCAGCTTGCTCTCCAATCCCAGAAAGAGCCCCAGTCCTACTTCAACAGATTCCAAGGTAGCGTTGAAGAAGCTTGGTCTGGTGTCGAAGACACCTTCAACAACGCCGTTGCATTCTCCGAAAATGCTCTCGACAACGCCATCAATGCTGTGTCTGGTGCTGCCAATGAGGCCAAGGCAAAGTTCGAGTGTCATATGTCCATGGAGAAATGGGATATTCAGGGATGGCTCGACTCAGCCGCCTCTACAATTGAAGATGTCGATATCTTTGAGACTTCCAGACCACACGACCCTCACCACAAACCACATCACGGCCACCACGCTCCGAACAAGACTGTCTACGAGCTTATCACTAGCAGCAAATATACCACAAAATTTGCTCAGCTGATCGACGAATACCCCGATTTGGTTAAGACTTTGAATGGCACTGCTGCCAATTACACAGTCTTTGCACCAACAAATAAGGCTTTCGAGAAGATCCCGGAGCACGGCAGGAAGCCCTCCAAGGAATTGCTCAAGAAGGTCCTTGCATACCATATTTCTCCAGACTTCTACCCAGCTGGACGGGTCCTGGTTTCACACACCATCCCCACGGTAGTGGACGAGGGCTCTCTTGGAGGTGTGGCCCAGCGTCTCCGTGTTGGTCTCAGCCTTAAGGGCTTGCTTGTCAATTTCTACAGCAAAGTTGTAGCCATCAACATTGTTCGTCCCCTCTGTATACCAAAACGAAACAGCATATTAACGGGTCACAGTTTGGCACTAATGGTGTGATTCACGGCGTCGACTCGCTTCTGCTCCCACCACCGCCCGCCCTCAAGATCATCGAGCTCTTCCCAACAGAATTCAGCACCTTGCAGCTCGGGTTGGCCAAGACCGGTCTCTTCGACGCCATTGCCAAGTCACACCACGAAGGCGGAACCTTCTTCGCCCCTTCCAACTTCGCATTCAAGAAACTCGGTCCTAAGGTCAATGCTTTCCTTTTCAGCAAGTATGGCGAGAAATATCTCAAAGCCCTTCTGAAATACCACATCGTAGCCAACCAAACCCTCTACTCGGATGCCTTCTACAAAGCCAAGAGCGAGGATGGAACAGATGTCAAGATCACCGAGGAAGTAGACATGGCTGGGATCCCCAAGGGACATTTCCACGTCGATCTACCTACCTTACTCGATGATAAGAGTCTGAGCGTCGACCTTGCAAGGTTTGGAGGCTTTATCAACATCAAGATCAATGGGTTCAGCAACGTGGCTGTACAGGACGGCATCGCCAAAGATGGGGTCATCCACGTTGTGAGCTCCGTCCTCATTCCTCCCAGGGCTCCCGGCGGGGCACAATATATGGGTGAGGAGATGAGTGTCGAGGAGTTTAAGGCAAGATTCGATGCCTTTGATCAGGAGTTGTAAGATGTCCCCTCGGAAATGGAGACTCAAAAAATGAAAATCAAAAATTGTATATGTATTGGGTAGGGAATGGAATCTTAGCTTAGGTGTATCAATTTCCCTGTTATAGAAAAATGTATAAGTAACGACCGCATATGAGGCTTCTATTTTCAGCGACTCGCAGTAATATCTTTCGTTAAGGATTGAGGTGGTACCCCTTGCGTGTTTCTCAAGGGACATGTAGATGTAACTCGATAGAGCTTGACCTCAATTGTAACATTGCTCTTTTTGGAATCCAACATGCTGTGCTATCAAAAAAGCATGTGTCTTGAAGAAAACTCAAGGCATTTGAAGGTACTGAAAGGAGTGGGCGATGTGGTTGTGGGGTTCATTGGCAGAATTATGCATGCATCATTAAACTATTTATGCGCCGAGGTACGTTATGTCGAACTAGAGCTTCAACCTCCAAATCCTCGCTCGACCTACAACAACGTCGTCATTCGCAGATCCCCCAAATTGTCAACGCATGAAACTGAGAGATCAATCTTACATATAGACGTCTGGGGGCACATTGGTCTGAAGTCTGCAAGTTGGCAGGCCCACGAGGCTTCATCCCAATTCAACAACACCCGGTCAAGCAGCAAGGTCTACACAAAACCACCATGGCAACACGGCTACCACTGCGCGCCTTCGCGATACCGCGATTACTATCTCGCAGGACGCAACGTTGTCCGGATTGTTCTAGAGGTCTAATATCGAATTCTCGGAAACCGCAGTTCCAATCCATTCGATATTATTCAACACCCACCCCTCCAGAAAGCTCAACGCCCGAGTCTCCAGCACCCCAAGAGACTCCAAGACCAATTGACCTCCGTTCTCAATTCGGCAGCGCTCAAAACGCAAACGATAATACGACCCCTCCACCTAAATCAAAACGTTCTCTCCGCCCCTTCATATACGCCAGCTTGTTCCTCCTCCTCGGCCTCACAACTGGCCAATATGTGCGGCTCGTCGTCGTGCCACCGCCGCTGCCCCTGCCCGACACAAGGGAAGACAAACTCATGGTCGAGTTCCTCACCAAAGAAGCTGAGAGACTGCCGCTCGTGAGATCGCTCTCCGAGGACCCGGAATGGCGCCACCACGACGCGTACAGCAGCGTGCCTCCGTCATCACGCGAACACAGACTGACGACGGGCCCTCTCGCCGGGGCGCGGGCCCTCGGCGGCTTCCAGCGGATCTTCTACAACGATGGGACCGGGGAGTTTATCTCGGTGGTTTGGTTGGGGGGCGCGATTACGGGCTGGCCGGGTGTTGTGCATGGAGGCGTGACGGCGACGCTTATGGATGAATCCCTCGGCCGGTGCGCGATCAAACAATTCCCGGGTAAATCAGGCGTGACTGCCAATCTGGAGCTCAACTATCGAAAGCCGATCATCACGAACTCATTCTATGTGATCAGAGCGATGCCGCTGCAAGAGGACGCGTCGGATTCGAAACAGTGGGCGAGTGGCAGGTTGGAGACGCTGGACGGGAGGGTGTGTGTGGAAGCGAAAGGACTGTTTGTCGTCCCCAAGGATCTCAATCTGAAGTTGAGTTCGTCGATTTGAAGTGCTGGAGGGCGCTGGAGTTGGGCGAACGTGGCGGATCAAGGATATGTATAGTTAGGTGTTTTTTATGAAAAAAAGGGCGACGAAGATGGGTATCAAGTGATGCTATTTGATAGATGGGAATATCCTAGATCCAATGATGACAAGTATGAATGAAGCCAGTGGTTACTCCAAGGAACAGGAATATCAATTGCTCCTTGAACTTGTACAAGTTTGCCTCTCTCTCCACATCAATCTTTTCCCAGATTCGCAGAGTGAGGAGAATCAAGCTTGCTTGATCTCTTATCCGTGTCGGTAACGCGAAACAATGGCGCTGGTGAGCATGCAAACTCCCCTTCTTTCTGAACTTCACGTCAGATTTTGAACTCTGTAGAAGAGTTGCCGAGGAGGAGCTTCACAGATACACACGGGGCATCGCTGGATGTCCATCTCTCCCGTCTTTCTATGAAATGAAAGCAGACGCTGATTCAATATAGATATGATGAATTCTGCCAAGCATCAATAAAGATATCTCGAATTTAAACTTCCGCAACTTCGGGTATTGTATAGGTAGATAGGTATGTATATTATACAAGAGTAGAGACTTGCCGAATAAATGAGGGGGGGTATCAAAAGCATCGTACGCAGAACAGAGAAAAGCTAGCTATCTTTACATCAATCAATCCAATTCATCCTCAATAACAGCTTGCAACCACGGATGTTGGAGTGCCTCCTTAGCACACGGTCGTTTTACATGATCGACAACTAGAAGACTCAAAATAAAATCAACGCATCCTTTTTCAATACCTTCTATACCTTCCAACTCTTCCCTAATACTTCCAATCTTGACATATTGCTCTTCCTTGCCCGTCTCCGGCCGGACAAAGGTCGACTGCTCGAGAAATTGTGCAATGTGAAATTCATCAACGATTTCTTGATTACTCGGCTCAGGCTCTCCAAGAGGGCCCATCAGCCGCATCATCTTCGCGATGCAGAAGGCCTCTGTTTCGCCTTCTATGGTCTTGCCGCTTGGACCAAAGATGACTTTCGAGGCTATCCAGTGGGCTAGCTGAGGAGTGGATTCAGTGCTGGAGAAAGAAAGGGTGTATATATATAAATTAAACTCACAGTGACTCCGAGACTCCATATATCGGCCTTGGGCGTTATACCAATGTTCTTCCAGACTTCTGGGGCTCGGATACTCAGACCCTGAAACAAGAATATTTAGCTTGTGTCTATCTATATATTTGACGAACTGATCATCCCCAGTCAGTTGATTTGGATATGAGCATTACCTGATAACGTCTAGGCATAGAACCCGAACCCACGGCTGAGCGAGCAAAGGGTTAGTTTGATGCTGGGTTGGATCCGAAGTTGCAAACTCACCAACGCCTAGATCCCCGAGCTTGACAATGGGGGAAGCGCTGTCCACCCCAGAAACAAATATATTGTTCGGGTTAACATCTGCGTGAGCTCCGTCTTCACTATCAAACACGATGAGGGCTTCCAGCACAGCTCGCGCTACTAGACGTGGCAATGGCGAACCGGACCGGAATGGTTTGGACGGCAGCTGCCAGAGATCGGTATCCATCCACTCAAACACCATACATTGAGGCTGGGATTGCGGACGTGATAAGAGATCTTTCTGAGATCCAGGATTATTAGCACTAGGATGCTCTTCTTGGGGACTATTCCCGTCGTGGCCTATGAGATCTAGCTGAGCACGAATGTACGCTGATTGTGCGACGCTGGGCAATGCGTAGGTATGCAGCTCGCGATTATACTGATCTGTTGGTTTTCCACATAAGCGGGCTTTTATCACAGCTCTGTATGGTAGGTATCAGCTTTTATCAAGTCACGCAAGCTAGAAAGGCGATACTGCACAGCTGGACGGGTTGGGTTGTCAATTGATGATGGGTCTCGAAAGGGATCACTTTGGCTTGGAAGACGTTTGGGGCTTTGAGAACTTTCGTGATATGGTAGGAAGCTGTGCGGCCTTTGAGTACCTGTCCAATACTGAGAGCCATGTTGCGAAAGATGTTCTTTTGAATTATCGATAACGTCTATAGAGGTACCTATATATATATGTGCCAACAACTCGAAAGGGAGAAGAATGGAAAGGGGGTGCCAATCACGTGCGAGAATGTGTGAATGGAAAGGTCCGTGCACGAGGCTGGCTGTTTACTTGCGAAACGCGATGTCTGATGTTACTTTCAATCTTTACTCCCCCACCTCCTCCACCTCCACCTCTACCACGCAAGGCAAGGCAATACGATCATCTCCTGCACATACATACATACATATACAATCCCCGCCCATCAATTGCTCACCCACGAAGAACCTGACAACTATATTGCGAACTCCTCGCACACCCACAACATGACGACGCGCATCCCTACCACCAGCGGCCCCCGCCTCTCCACCGCACCCAGCAGTATCAAACCACGACAACTAGTTCGTCTCCCCCTTCCCCTTTCCAACCAAATCCCCCGCAAAAAAGTACAATCTACATCTGTCTAACACACACCCAAAAGTCCCATCTACACGCCCAACTAGCCCAGCTCTCAGCCAACCTCGCCGATCTCGAGAACTTGCTTCGGATGACTAGCGTCCAGGCCGAGTCTATCCGTGGCTTGGGCGCTTTCCATGGCGGTTTGTGAGTCTGCCTTTTATGTTTTTGTGTATAGAGGGGGGAGAAGGCTGAGTGATGGATAGGTTCATGGCAGCGAGTAAAGTACTAGGCGAGGAGACGATAGCTGGACAGGCGAACGCGCAGCAGCAGCAACAGAGAGGAGGGGAAACATGATTGTTGTGAGAGGAAATAAGGAGCGCATACATATGATATACATGACCCGACCGTCTGGACGTCCTTGTATTCATATAATAACGGATCGCGGACGAGGGGAGGAGCTCAGCTCGGATCCGTTTGTGAACGTCGAGGCGGATGTGGGGGGGATAAGAGACCGGAATATTCGTTCTCTGACTGGATCTTAAGATTATGAAGCTGTGGGGAGGGGGGAATTGGGTGGATAGGGGGGATGTGTGGGTTTACTATTTCTGGGGAAATAGATACCTTAGATTATATCATCTCTTGTCTTTGATCTATCTATAATCTTCAGCTACCGTTCAGCAGTTGGGGGGTTGAGAGAGGAATGAATGGTTTTGCTGCATTGTGCCTATTAAGCTATACATATGTATATGTATACCCTACCCCTACCTAAGGTATAGAATGAAGAAGGAAGGGGGGGGGGAAGGTTTCTCTCTTCTTCTTTCTTACACACACCTTATAAATCATAAATAATCCCTATCTCTCATCCCCAACCCCCCTCCTCCCCCTCCTCGCTTCTTTCTTTCCACCTCTTCTCATCTATCTTTTGATCCTCTTCTTCTAACCCCAGAAAAGGACTCTCTCTCTCTTCCTCCTTTCCCCTTCGCACATTCAACCCCAATCGTCACATGCACACACGCAGACATGTTAATTATCCTCTTTTAAACCATCGCTATATAAACCTTCTTCTCTATATATACTACCTACCCACCAGCACAACAACAATACGACGACACTATATATATCCCAAAGCTTAGGTAGGTACGAGTAAAAAAGGCCTAACGTATCTATTATATTGTATATATATTAAAAATCAAATAATAATATATATATAAATATAATTCCACCACGCCAGAGTCCTTTCATTTGCATTTTGCATTTGCAACATCCCGGGGTATTTCGCCTTGACCTCCCACGCTTACTTCATCAGCTCATCATGAAAGGAAAGGAAAAGAGAGAGAGAGAAGATGGGGGGGCAGGAAATGTAAAGGTGGACGAGCGGAAAAAAAAAATGTCTCTAGCCCGTTCGCTCGCTCTTCTTTCAAAGTCTCTATTTCAAGCCAAAAAAAACCAGAATGATGCCGCCGCGCAAGATTTCGTTAAAAGACAACACCGCCTCCCGACCCCCCGGACCGTCCCGTTTCCTGCCTGACCTGGCGAAGCAAGCACCGTGCGAAAAAAGGGGGCCTGTAACAAACGATGGTATCAAAAGAATTTCCAAAAAAAAGCAGCAAAAAAAGAGTTCCCTGTATCCCAAAACCGTGTGACGTTGTGGCGCAAACATTCCTCCCCCGTTGTATATAGGTTTAACGTGAAAAAAGACGAGGTCCCCCAAAAGCCAGAAGTGTAGCCAAAACCGATTCCCCAGTTTAAATAACGAAGACACCTCAGTCGCCGTAGTGTTTAAGTCAAGCGCTCGCGAAAAAGGTTTCAAAACGCCATGCCATCCGATCTCGTAAATCCGAGATGGGGAATCAAAGACTCATCGTCAACCACTCCCATTCCTGAGGGCCGGTGCCCGATCCTCCAACGCCGTTCTGTCCCGAGAGGGAGATTCCGGAGGACTGTGAATTCATACCGCTCAGCGACGACATTCCCAATCCTCCTTGTCCCAGAGACCTTGACGCCATGCCGAATCCGTTGGCAAGACCAATATCGGACATGCTTCCACCACTCATCATGCTCATACCCACTGATTTCGCAACCTCGTTGGATCCTGTTGAGTTCTCCGGCGAGTCAACATCCATGTTCTCAGAGGCACTCACGCTCTTGCTATGCCTCCTTTGCCTCTTTGGAGCGACGCTGGCACTCATCCGCGGTAAACTCGATGCTGCTGCACCTGGTCCAGGGGTATCCTTTGGCGGCGCTGCTGCTATGGGAACCACGCCCTTTCCACCACTGACACCAGTTGCTCCAACTGAAGATCCTCCTGCGGAGCCGTGGTACGAAGTCGGTGTACTACCAGCTGTACTCCCGCCATTACCGGCCGAGCCCGAAATCGAAGGTGGGCTCTGGCTTTCGTTCACGCTACCGGTACGGCCACTCGTGGGAGTCGTAACTTGAGTAGTGGGGGCTGTGGTCACAATCGAGTTCTTCCTTGTGTTTGGCCCACTGGTTTGTGGAGTGGTTCCGACCTTCTTGGAAGCGCGAGTCGATGCGCCACCAGAGCCACCTACAGGGAGAGAGGCCCCGGAGCCTCTGTTTCGTTTCTTAATAACATCGGTTTTCAGTGAGAGGGGTCGTACGACACCGTGTAACTTGAGGAAGAGACCACAAGCATTGCAAAGAGGGTGTCCCTCGGGATTTCGTCGCCAGAGTGGGGTGGTTTGAGTAAAGCAGTTCGTGCAGGTCGTTGGGACGCCGTTCTCGCCTTGTGCACCAGCAGCACCTGCCAAGTTTGTCGTAGAGCCGTGCTTTGAGCCACCGGGCGAGGATGGCCGACTCGGGGCCACTGAAGAGAAGCCGGATACATTGCCCGCTTCAGGAGGGGAATTAGGATCCGATTGGCCAATATTATCAAATATATTGGCATTTCTGGAGCCCATCAAAGCTGCATTTGGAGTTGATGATGTTCGCGGAATCTTCTGCCGCCTGTCATTACCACCTCTAGCTCGGGTGTCGGAAACGGATTGGGTGGAACCGTGACCCCGACCTAGAGAACCTCCTGAGCCGTCCCAATCGATAGATGGCGAGACCATCTCAGCACCTCCAATCGTAACTTGTTTCCTCGGTGGACCACCTGGATATCTGGCAGCTTGCGTGTTGAACTGCCCTGACAAAGTAGCGTCCCATTGCAATCCTCCGCCAGATCCCGTTTCCATGCCTGGTTCTTCCATTGGAGACTGTGCAAAGTCATGTTGCATCAGAAGTGTTCGGTCCGCGAATGCTGTTCCCTCCTCGTCCTCATTGTCCGAATCTCCCCCAAAGCTAAACATGTTCTCCTGCCCTAATTGGCCGCCAGGCGATCGTGCACGGTTGTCAGAATGGAAGACCTGGGTAGGGTCTATATGTTGGGCGATCCCACTAAACGCCCCGGAAGCGTTAAATGAGTTAGAAGGACCGGCGCTGGTAACAGCGGTGAACATGGATCTGCTATTGGAGTTGTACATGTATTGTGGCGCCATCGAGTTCGACAGGCTGGAGGGCCCGTGGCTGAATGCGTGAGGCCGTTGGGGTCGCATATTTAGGTCATGATTATTGAAATATAGCTGCTCGTTTTCCGGGATGGGCTGCGGAGTCGAAACGGCCGATGGATAGGCACTCCCAGGAGGGGAATAGTAATCGTTCGAGTTCAGAGACGAAGAGGGCATCGAAGTGTTATTATACATTGAAGAGAAGGGGCCATGTTGGACGAGTGGAGAGTCTGATGGCGAGAATGAGAAGTTCTGTTGGAATGGTCCTGCAGAGGTGATTATCGGATCATGATCCATGTTAAATGTATCTAGTTGAAAGGGTAAGCCCAGATTACCGTGGTGGTTCATCGGGGGGTGTGGTTGGTCGAGGGAATATTCGTCATGGTCCGGATCATGAGGTATCATGATGCTGTTCACAGCTGGTACTAGGGGGGAGAAGTCGGCTGGTCGCTTCCGAGGCTGTGAATTGTCAGTATATGGAGTATAAGTATGGGATATGGAGTAGAATAGGGAAGCATAATCCCAGAGGGGCGGTAAGTCACTTACTCGTCTCTCGTCGATGCTTGTTTTCCGAACGTGTCTTTGCACATAGTTGAACTCTTCGTTGGTCCGCGGGTTGTGATGAGGAACAGGAACGGACTGGGGGATTGCAAACTGGGCAGATTCCTTCCGCATCTTTATGGGAATCGCCGACGCCACCGCGTTCGATGATTTCTCTGGTGATTCCTTAGTAGATTCTGGTGGAGGGGAGGCGCCCAGACCGGCGGGCGTCGATATGCTCTCGGAGAAGATGAAATCGTCGAGATTCATTGCGTCTTGATGTTGTTCGGCCGTCTGGTCTGAGGTCCTCCTCAGCTGGGCGATTCCACTGGGTGCACTGGTATTGGTCTGCTTGGATTGCTTGCTAGAAGAGTATCAGAGATAATGTTCCCTCCACAATAGAGTGCTTTGCGCAGAACATACCGGGCAGCCTCCTCCTGCTTACGCTTCCGCAGGCTCATTGCCATCATTCGCCATGTCAGATTCTCCATCCGCTCCTGGTTGGGTAACTGCTTCTTGGTCTTGCTGTATAGCCTCCATATCTGCGTAGCCAGCGGGTCCTTCTTCTGCATCTCGTCCGGGCTATCGAGCTCCTCGCCAGCGGCATCGTCCTTCCAGGTAGGAAAGATGCTGTCGCGCAGCAAATCCTTGCGCGCAATGGTCTCCCCCGGAAGATCCAGCTTGTCCAGAGTGCTCGCGCCCGAGTTTGCGCTGGTACCGGGTCGGGGAGTGGCGGATTTGGGAGTCGGTTCTGCTTGCGGCTGGGGTCGATCGGCAGGTCTTCGAGGGAATCGAAAGTCGTGCTCTGCTGTGGATGTCGTCGAGGATGTTGTAGGATTGCATCGAGCCTCTCCGCTCGGATTGAAGGTGTCGGACGAAGGGTGGAATGGTCGCAGGAGTCCCCCACGCTCCTCATATTGTGCCGCCGCTCCAGACATTTCGTGGAGGCGACACCCCGCCCGGAACCTCACCTCGTTATGCAATGGTGGACAGAGAGCACAACGGCCGTGTCGGGGGATGCCAGGATTTTTTTGGGGAAGGTTCTGCTGGTCAGGTGCTATATGTTGGAGATGCTTTTTCTTTCCTTTTTCTCTTCGTCGCTGTGCCCCAAGAGCTCTCCGGCCTCCGCAAAATGGAGCGAGCGAGGATTCGAGGCTAGGGTCTCCGTACGCGAGGGAGTGTCGCAGTGGTCGGGAAGGGGACGGCTCTGCTCTGGAGAAGGGATCGCAGCGCAAACAAAGGATATGTCTCTTCGAGGGGGGCGGGAGAAGGTCAACGGTTGGTGTGTCGTGGAAGAGTCGGCGTCGACATCACCGATTGAGCAGCAGCAGCAGAGGCAGCAGAAGGGCAGCAGAGTCTGGTCCGTGAAGGACGGTACGGCAGAGGACAGTGCTCAAGGCGGATCGAAGAATGGGTGGAGTCTGGGCGAATTGGGAGACTTGGGAGCAGCGCCTCTGAGTGGCCAGTGGGGGTCGTATGCAGCGGTGCTTTATGGAGTCGTGAAAGCGTGGCGAACAACTTGCAAGGGCTCTTCTCTAGCGCGGGCCTGGTCATCCCAAAGCCTCTCCAAATTCGACTACAGTACTCCAGCGCGGGACGGTAGCTACTACTCTACGGAGTTCAGTCTACAACCGTGAGACTCGGCTCAGCATCTACTTCCACTACGACTAATCGACTCCTCCCGCTCGGCTCACCACCAGCAGCTCGACGACTCGGGCCTCGGGCAAGCAGAACATGGAGGGGCAAGCAGCAGGTCTAAGGTCTCGACTCTGGAGCAGGGCGTGGGGGGGCAGGTCACAGAAGGGATCTTCGGAAGGGAATCTTTCGAAAGAGTGGAATGAGCAAGGCAAGGAAGGCTCTGTGTAGGTAGGTTCGTACGGTTCACGGTTCACGCAGTACACAAAAGTGGCATACGACAATACGAAAGGACAGTCCTCGAGCCCGCCATGGCCACGCGGGCACGGCCGAGTAATCCTGTACGGAGGGAGGCATACAGACTACAGTGCTCAACTGTCTCTACTACTCCGTACTACTACTCCTTACCGACGACGCGACGCGATGGTAGAAACGGGGCGGGTCACGACCTAGAACTGCAAATTACAGACAAGAGAGTTGATGGCGTACACTACTGCTGCCCGGAGCCAGTGGTAAGTCCGTGTGTGGGCGATGGGGGAGGGTACGGGGTACAAGCCCACCAGAACATGGCTGCTGGATCTGAACCCTGAATTTGCATTGCAACGAACCTGACTGGGTGGGCGAGTCGTCGCCGCTTTGTCGTGCCGTGGGACGTGTGGGAGAATGCCTGCATCCGCCGTTCGGACCACATAGTGGGGGTATTTAGCACTGAGGTAGTGTGTGACAGTCTGACAGAGGAAGGGTGTGGCCTGTGTGGGATGCTTGACGGATCATGGATTCCTGGAGCTCGCTCGACCATGCTCGCCGCCATCCCCGGGAATGTCCATATATGGTATATCGAGACCCGCCGACTCCTCCCCCTCCCAAGACACGGCTGAGGAGCACGGCTGAGAGACACCACCCTGTTCCATCGAGGTACAGCACACGGGAACACCAGGTCTCGTCCCTCATGCATCCTCTGAACCGGCCGGCACTTCCAGCCCTACTCACTCGGAGTCGTCTTTCCAGCCTTCTACCTGCCATCTAATTCTGCATGAAATGGCCTGTTGAGGCCTCTGGACTGCTGCCGGACATCTAAAGCTCCCAGGCCCAGGGTGTTAATTCGCGAAAATGCCCCGCCCGGCGCTCGAATTAGCCACCCATTTTCCCGATTACGTTGTATTCTCGAATCTAGCTGGGATATGGCCGGCGCTCCTCCTACCTTAGCACCTCCGTTGGTGGTGGCGGCGCCGCCCTCCAGGCTCCAGGGTTCCAACTTTCAATAGAGCTAGGGGCTCCCGCACCAATGCGCACCTATCATTGGGCACCTAGGGGGATTTGCCTTTTTCTAAAAGTTCTTCGGCAGTAACCAGGTTGCTGCAGCCTCGAAGCCCATTATTCCTCTTATGTCCGAAAGAGGCGAGCAAGGCAGCAAGGCTGCATGCATGGAAGGAAAAGGCTGGACTACCAGTCTACCACTTGTACTCCGTAGTATGAAGGAAAGGAGAGAGAAGGGAAGAGGGATGGGCCCCGCCTTCTCCCCCTCCCCGGTCCCCTTTCCCCTTCCCCCTAACCTCTCTGTTCATCTAGCACGAGGCAAGCGTTGCACGGCCGGCCATGTCCCCTACCCTGATCAGAGCTCGTGTCTGTGCTGCTGGTGCAGATGTCAACCACCCCACCAGTGTTTTGGCGGATGCTGCACTTCTGCAGCCTGCTGCTGCTACAGCGTTACGATTGCCACCAAAAATGCGTGCCGCCGTGACCTGACTTTTAGTGCTGTGCTGGCGAAGGTAAGGGGTTAAGAAGTTAATCGAGGATTTCCCCGGCCGTTTTCTCTCTACTGAATCTCGCCGATGAAGATTCCATACAGGCGAATACAGGCGAATACCGACTCTGCAGATCGTAGAATAGCAACCAACATCCATGCCGTCAGACCTACTACCCGTGGGCCGTGGCGTCCCTGAAGCATGGTGGCTAGAATCGCTAGAATCGCTTTAGAAGGGCTTACCGGAGTACATTAGTAGCGAGCTATTCATTACCTTGGATTGGCCGGAACTCTGAAGCGCCAGCCTGCTACAGGCTACGGAGCATAGCTCCTTGGTGTTGATGCAGTTGGGTGCACGTTTGATATAAAGTTCTCTGGATACACACCGATCCTGACGTCAAGATGCGCCGGACCAATATGAGCGTGAGCCCTTGACCTTTGAACTCTTGAAGAGTGTGTCGGCGACGGCCCGACGGGAAATCGCTGCTCTGGTTGGTGGTGGATACAAGTTCGTGGAAGAACGGATCCCCCGAAGCCTAGCAGTCTGAAAGAGAGCTACGATGATGGGCTTTCCTAAGATGTGCAGCCTTCATTCATCATCCTGTGCGCCAGCCTGAACATCCTGTACACAATAATACGTAGAGCCTTGGCGACTCAACGATGTTCCTACAGAACTTGCCGATCTCAACTGCTATTAATACAACTAAGTCCGTTGTGGACTTGTAAAGGAGCCAGCCTAGGTAGATGGGAGGGAGGCTGGGGTTTTGCCTATTATTGCGTGTCTTCCAAGTTCCCACGAGGACCAGGACGATCACGGCACGTTAGCTTCATGCTGCCCCGGCTTAGAGCGAGCTTCGGAAATAGTCGGGAAGCTTAGATCCTCTAGTAATCATAGGTCAGCAAATTGCCAGACGCTCACAAAGGCTGTGCAGCCGGTTTCCTCGCTTCCTCCCTGAATAATGGGATGGTTCACGCACGTCGCTCCGAGGGCCGAAGCGTGAGCGTGGCGGCCCATAGTACAGTAATCAACTTTAGATACCTACCGATATCAATAATAACCTCACAAATGCACACATACCGACAGGTCGTCTGGACTGGTGGGGCCGATGGTGCAGACGTTGACAGAGTGCTGGACGGAGTACAGTACAGTAGTTAACTTGCAGTCCTGCGCGTTTCTGTACCGGCTACTGCAGTACAGTGCTGACTAGTACTGGAGGCCCTGAGGCCCTGAGGGACTCTTGTTGGAGTGGGGCCGTCCATGCTGAAATAGCCAAGTGCTTCGGCGGCCTAAAAGCAATCGGTATACGAGTCAGGCGGCTATGGGAAAATGTGTGGGATGTTCTAGCCTTCTAGCCCCTGGATTTGAAGAAAAGACAAGATCCTTTCTGCAGACTGCGATCCAGCCTCTTGGCACATACCTTTGCTCTGTCGTTGAGACTGTTCCCTCACCACGGAGCGCGCCTGGCGATGCTTACTCTGTGATGTGTACTTGCAAGTAGTCGCATGATATTGCATGTGATATAGCGAGAGGGTCCTGCTGGGATCAGGTCTGTTGTCTCAGTCGTCGCGGTTCCACTGCTCCATGAGACCTCACCCACTTTCCTACAGGGAGCCTGGGACTAAATATACGCACGTACTCTTTCGAAGCCGGCGATGTGAAAATGAGGATGTGTCTCCGTGGTCTCTGCCATATTATTCCTGATGAGCAGCGCTGCGCCGAATGATAATCCCGGTTCTAGCCGTTGCTTCGTTGGGCATGTGTCGAAGAGTAATAAGAACATGTCAATAACGCTTCGCAAGATGCCTGCTGTCACAGTAGTCTGAGTATAATTGCGTGGGGGTGATCGCACAGGTTTCGAGGATGGAGATGAGGAAGGAGGATGGTGAGTGGTGAGAGGCGGATATACTTCGGGGGGTGTTCCAGCACTGGACTCTGGAGTGCACCTCCGTAGGATCGCTGGAACTTGGATGGCCATGCACAGCAGATCTGAACGAGAAATACGTGATACCACGGCTGGTGCGACGGCCAGTGAGAAAGAGAAGAGACAGCGTGGACGGCGTGGACGGCGTGGACGGGCGTGGGCCTGTGGGGGGCGCTGGGATCGCCGAAGGAAGCAATTTGCCGTCGCGCTGGGCGGTGACTTGGTGGGTTTCGATCATCGAGGAGCCTTTGCGTAGGCAATAGTATGGAGAGAAGGGCGGCGGCAGAGGGATCCTTGGATGGGGGATATCCAGTTGGTGGTGGCCAGGAGAATGTCCAAACTCAAGACTCAAAGTCAAAGCCAACGCCCTTCCTTCCCTCCCGTGACTCCCAGGGTCTCATCGTAGACGGTCATGTGACGGGCCCCTAACCCAGTCCAATGGCATTCGTATGTAAGAGAGGCCTGCAAGGGAGGTAGAGCAAAGAAAAGATCCAAGGCGAAAAGCAGGAGGGCACACGACCATTAAATAAACTTCTCACGATGGCGCCTTATCATACGCCATGCCTCCTGTTTCTTTTCACCTCGACCCGGCGCGCAGCGATGATGATCTCATCCTAGCAGAATCGCACACAATACGATGTGCTAATCGCCCCTGACATGACAAGCGCACTGAGATTTTCGCGATGCCGATACCGATAGAGACAGCGATAGAGACAGCGATAGAGAAAGAAAAAAATGAAAATAAAAATGAAAATAAGAAACAGAAGAAACAGAAGAGATAGAGAATTCGTCGGTATCGGATCGATATCTATACCTCTCGGACTTGTACGCAGCCATGTACAACTAGGTATGTAACGACGACGTACCTTGTTGGACATGCCGGCAGAGCAGTTAACGTTGATTGAACCGCAACAGCAAGGCCTGCGGATGAAAGACATCGCATGGTCCCATTGACTGCAATAGGCAACTCGATGCTCTCAATGGCACAGAGGCACACGCAGAGCGACGGTGCAGCAGTCATCCGAAGATAATCAGAGATAAACTCAGATAAACTCGATAAAGTCCCAGCCAGTCGATTGCCCCAATGCTATGCATCGCATCTCCTAACGGCGACCGCTAGTAGCCATATCTTGAAAAGATTGCACAGGGCGATAGTGAAAGAGACTATAGATAGGGCTCCTCCGTGCAGTTTACGTCGGAGGATCAGCATTTCTTATCTGTGTGGCGGCGGGCGTTGAAGATCTCTCCAGATACAAATGAAGCCCTTCGCCGTTGTGCGTCAATTTTCTTCAGAGCCTATCTTCTATCGGTTCTTCCGTTATCTCTGTACTGGCTTGTTCTGATTGTACTTCTGGCTTTAGTCTCAAACCACCGGCTCTTCCTTTGCACAAACATATCCAAACGGTATAATCACGTGTGCTTTATGGACATACGCACGTGACTGCGGGGAAGTCCCCTTTTCCCCCACAACAGGGTTGTCTCCATCCGATGGGGATAGGTGGGGGGAGGTGGTCGTGGTCGTCTGGACTTTGTCGACATATAGAAGTCCTCTTTGTTCGTTCGTTGTTCACCCCTTCGATCCATTGGCCGTACTTGTCCTTCGTCGATTGCCACCTCCCATGACTCCTTTGTCTTTCCCTCGACCATGTCCGCAACCGTCCACGACAACAATATTCCTCATTCATACAAAGCTTTCAAAGGACAAGTCAATTGCTTCCTCCGCGCCATGTCTTCTCAGTTCTCTCTCCAACTCTCCTTTTCATATTGTCATCATCAGCCATGGCTCCTCATAACCAGGCTTTCAAGTATCTCTCCATGCTCTCTTGTTCTTTCCTTACCTTGACCGCACAGATTATACCAGTCACGCAGATTGCTTCCAGCCGCCCAGCGATAATACCAGTTACGTTAATTGCCTCGAGCTCCTCGTCGATTACACCAGCCACGTTGATTTCTTCGAGTCCCTCCCCGATTACATCGGACACACTGGTTGCTTCAAGTATCTCACTCATTGCGCAAGGCACACTGGTTTCCTCGACTCCCTCACCAGTCTCAACACTCTTCACTTTGGGCGCACGGCCTCTCCTCACGTTCATCCTCGTGACATCTTCAAATACCACCCTCTCCACTCCCTCCATTCCCTCCGATATCAACATAAGCAGCAACACCACAGAGCCTTCGTCACCTTCCTCTCATATATCAACATTCACGCTCAACATCATCACATCCACATCTCACACCTTCCAGTCAGCACCTACCTCAACCAGCAGGCCCATCCCCACCCCATCCCCCTCTGAACACCACGTCAACACCACGCACCTTGTTCTTATAATCGTCTTCTCCGTCCTCGGTATTGCCCTCCTCCTCGCACTTCTCCTCACGCTCCAGAAAAAGCACCACCGCGCCCATCTCGGACCCCAACCCTCCCTCAAAGATCCCCGACTGTCCACCGAAGACAGCACCGCGTCGAATCAACCACTACGATGGGTGAGACGGAGCATGGGCGGTTATGGCAAGCGTTCTAGGGCTAGGATCCAGGGTACTGGGTATGGAATCGAGGAGCGGGAGAAGGAGGAAACGATGCAGAAGGAACGGAGGGAGAAGAGGAATACGTTGGAGGCATGGAAGAGGGGCGTGGTGCCTGATGTTGAGGCTGGTGCTGGTGCTGGTGCTGGTGCTGGTAATCAGGCCGAGAAAGCAGAGCAAGAGGAGGGAGCAATAGGGAGGGCGATGTGAAGAGGCGTTCGAGAGAGAATTGTTTTTTGTGGGGGGGGGGGAACCGAATGTCTATTTGAAGGCGACAAATGCTCTGGATAGGCCCGACCCAGGATCGACGATAAGACTAAGAAGGAGAGGAAAGAGACCAAAGACGAGGGTCTTCCAGTTTGTCGAAAGAAAAGGGGGGTCGAAGCGAAGAAGCGAAGAAGCGAATAATAAAGGAGATGCAAGAGACGAATATCGAAATCTACACACCAAATGAGAAAACGAAAACATCCATCATCAAGGAACCCGGAACACAAACAGGAATATCACGGGTGTGCCGGACCAGTTCATCTCTTTAAGCAGGGAATAAATCTCGGGCTTTATAGGTAGGTACCTTAGGTAAGAGGATGAGCGTGTGTGCGTTGCAGGAGTGGTATATATGGATATGGACATGGAAATGTATTCGAATATCTTATTCAGACCTAATATATGCATGATTACCTCCCACATTCAAGCACTGTCCTAAAAAATAAGGGGGTATCCTTTCCCCTTCCCCATCTCTCTCCCTCCCCCCGGGGGGGGGGGGGGGAAAAGAAAATCCT